TTACCTCTCATTCTTACTCATTGATTCTTTTATATTTATACTCGTCTATTTGGCACACATTTCACTACATAGTCAGCGTCAGTTTAGCAACTCACTCATCTTCGATGTGTCAAGATATAGTGAAAGTTTTTTTCTACAGACTTTTCTAGGATTTATTGAGATCTGTATTACTTTCACTCAATCAATTTTATGTACACTATTTTTTTCATTTTATCACTGTCATAATTACCATAAACTAACTGAAATAATATAAACAGAATAATTTTTAAAGAGGCATTGAAATTATTCTAGTATTGACTGAAACAAAAATTGATTTCAATGAATAAAATATTTGATCAGATAAGGAAAATATTTTATACTTCAGAAACTTATAATTCATTATTTTTTTTAGTGAATTTAATCAAAGTCAACAATTGATTTTAAATCGAATGAAATTATTAACTACTAGATTTAATTTATAGTAAACAACAATATTTTAGGATCTATTATAAAATAATATAAATAAGAACACTAATAATTTTGCGATAAAGAAGATTTTAGTTTTAATAAATGTGGCAAGTTTTTCATTGTCTCTAATTCTGGGATATCTGAATAACACAAGTTTTGCATAGCCCAGAATAAAGTATAATTACTTTAATAGCAAAAATTTTCTTAAGAATTAAAAACAATTATAAATAATTTTTAAAAACCCTTCTTAAGTTTTAATTGCATAAAATAATTCATTGTTTAATTGATAATATAGTCTTTGCATCAATGTAATAATTGATTACGACTATTAATGAATTATTCTTTTAATATTAATTATTTAAAAGTTGTTGAATAATACAATAAATAAGTTGAAAATAATAACTTTATTTCAAACTAAATTAAAGAAAATAATTTTTATCTAAAAATGCAAATAATATTTGTTTTTCGCATAATATCTATATTAAATAAACAAATAAATGTGTATTTTGTTTTTATTATAATTACCTACTCGAGTAGAAATTTTAGAGTGGCCCTTATTAGCTTCTAATTAGAAATTTTTATCGGTCTTTGGGTATACTGAAATTTCTAGTCGGGTGGTATTGAAAATATAATTTCGTTATTTCATATTCACAGTATGAATAAATACAAAATTCATTTTAATTTATTTATTTATATAAAAAAAATTAAATGTCTGTCTGTAATATTAACGACTGTCTTCTATTGAGCTCAAAGTGTTTTATTAAGTGAGTGAAAACTTCTCTAAAATTGTCACTGGCTATAATAAATGAGAAAAAAGCATTTATTATTACAAATAATAATTTAACCGAGATGATGAAATTTTAAAGAATTCAAATAGAATGACTGTATTCCAAAAAGACTCGGAATATTTTGATACAATTATGACTTTCTCTAATTAAAAAATATTTTTCTTCTCGTTCAATTGACAAAAAAATAATCAGAATAGTTGCGTCAATTGAAGACACTATTGATGTTGGTTTAAGTTGTGCCAGTTGAAAGATAACTTTTCCGAGATTGAGCTCATTGCTTTTTATCGTTCTCGTGCATCTTACATTCACCATTTGCCAATTTGTGATAATATTTCTTACGTTTTCAATGAACGAAATGAACAGAAAAAAAAAACGAAAAATGAAGGTACATTAATAAGATATCCGTGAAGAGAATTAACGATTTTAGCGTGAATACTTGGCGTGACGGTGAAAAAATTTTAATTTTAAAAATAAATAAATGGCCAGTTATCAAAGTTAAGTCGCGTGACTTCAAGCTTGTTATTAACTCGATAATTACTGATCTGACTCCTATAATTTCGGCAATCTTAATATAGTAAAAAAATGTTTTATTTTAATATTAATAAATAAAAATATACATTTAAAATATCGAGTTCAATACAACATGAAAAAAAAATGAAATTAAAATTAAAATTTTGAAATTAAAACAATTTTTTATCACAAAATGGTATAATACGTATTTTTATGCAAAAACATACCAAAATGATTTTAAGCTCATTAACTCAATAATTTTTAGCTTAATTAAATTTCAAAAAAATACGTCACTGCATTTGACATTTGACAAGCGAATTACGGCGTCTCAATGTCTCAGATTATTTTTTTTTCTCTCCTTTTTCATTTACACTTGAGGCAACAACCAAAGGCTTGGAAATAATAATGTAGAACAAGCGAATAATCGAGATCATTCACAGCCTCATTCAGTGGTTATCTTATTTTCTTGTAACATTCTCTCTTTACCTACACCCGACAATGATTTATTTCTTATTTTAATCTTCTCAACACTACAAACATAACTACAGATAAGTATCCAGATTTTAACACTTTTTATACTGGTTTGTTTTTTTACAAAAAATTTCTTTTGTCAACCGGTTACGAAATTTATGCGCATTACGACGATGAATTTATGCACGGAACTTAAATGGACAGGAATAATTAGTTCTGACTAATCTTCAAGTTTGGTTAAAGTGTGTGTGGAAAAAAAAATTTTTTTGTTGCCACCGTGACTCGTGTAATTTAGTTACATGTTTCTTACAATTTTTATGAGGCAACGATTACTATAATTGGATCTTTAATGCCTTCTTTATTCAATAAAATATGAAATATTTGAATAAATTATAAAAACAATACTCATCAGATTATCAGGAGATAAAATTTTGAATTTATTAAGACATTAATAGGACAATAGAGTTGATAAATTTATAAAAAAGAATGATTAATTGTCATAAAGTTTAAATAAAATGAAATATATAAGAGAGTAGAGTAAATTTCCGAGATATATTTATAAATTAATAGCCTCTCAACATCACCCAACGAGCCTATGAGTCAAAGCATCTTTGCTTCTTTTTCTTCTTATTTCATCATTTCGCAATCGGCACGAGCTAGAAGACACCGCGAATGAGCACGTAAATCACTCACAAGAGTCTTCTAGCGATTTGCCTCAAGCTCTGCCGCATAATCTTTCTTTTCTTGAGTATCGTAGCTTGTGCGCACTGTCGACTGGAAGCTCTTATGTAATTTAGTTCAATAGCAGCAACTAAAATACATAAATCACATCAAAGGTTATTTGGAAATTTACATTTTTATATAAAAATTCTTTGCTATTTTCTCAAGTATATTTATCTTTACCTGTTTATATCAACATTCAAGTGAACATTATAAATAAATATTTTATTTTTATTTTATTTTATTAAATAATCATTCAAAATAATTCCAATAAAAACAGGGTTACATACATTAATTTTTTAACATACTAGTTAATTAGTAATTAATAAAACTAAAATCTCCAAAATTAAAACAATTTTACAAATTATAAAAGTAAAAAGAAATCATCTATTTTATTGAGTTGGAACTCTAATACCTACAATTATTAATTAATTATTGAACACAGTTTTTTACTTTCAATGCTACAAGTATTTATTTATCTCCTAAATTATTTATCTTTCATCCTTATTTATTTCCTTTCATCCATTTCATTGTAGTATTCTTTAATTACTGTAACGTTGTAGAAAAGTGATGATTTTTTGGTAATTGGTACTGAAAAAGAGCATTTTAAAATTATATAATATCTTATACAATAGTAAAGTGAATTATTGATGTAATAGATATGTTCATCCTTTCAAGAAAATATATCATCATGTATTTTAAACGAATAAGATCGATAATCACAAGAAAGACCCCCTACGACTGTAAGATCTGAGTTTTTTCCATTACATGGAAGAAACCACCTAATGGGACCAAGTATCTAACTTGATATCGCTTTTAACAATCCCATGAGCATGAAAATTTAACATCGTTTTTTACTTCAATTTATTTTAGCTAAAAAGAAACAAAAGTAATTTTTGCTCAATTTTAATGTTCTATTTTTCATGTAAAATATTTTATTGATATTGGAATTTATAGTTGGACCAAGATCACCTTTTCTCATAAAAATGTATGGAGCTGGAGATATATTGTGCGTTTTTTCACATGATTGGTATTCATCATACTGATCCAATGAAAACTTCTCTACAAATTGATTCATTAGATTTTGCTTTACATCGGAATTGATCCAATAAGCTTTATGCCAATCATGAAAATATCATACATTCATAGATCAACAATTTTTTACAGATCAATCGTCTTCCATTTTTAAATTAATACCAGAACTATGTTTCTTTCAGACCATTTACTCAGAATAGTATTCAAAAGAAATGCATCAAATTTACTCGTTAGTAATTCAACTTTTTCAATATTATTTTTGCATGAACAATGTTCAACTTTGAATTTAAAATAAAGAACTATGATTCATCGTTTTCTAAAAACAAATCACATTCCAAATAAGCAAAAGTAGTGCTTCTAATGCTCTTGGACTTGATTTAATACCTAAATACTAGATCATTAAAAATTAATGTTACTAATTGAAATCAATCAGTTTACTGAAATGAATTATATTGCAGCTAATTATTTTAATTCAAACAAACAAATTAATCCTATTAATAAAATATTGCATTAAATTAGTACAATAATTAGATCTGATTTCATATAGAAATAGCTGAAATCAAGATAGTTTCAACAAGTAAGATGTTGTAAAACCGGTATTCAAATAAACGAAGATTGCGATCAGCTAACAAAAACTCTGATGTAATTCTCTCGATTACAAAATGAGTAATAGACAATAAGACTATTTCTCATAAGACAAACGGATTTAGCTAAGAAAAATTGATCTTAGTAAATGAAGCAAGGTTAACTCTAAATGTATTAAGCTTCTACATTTGCTGATTGACATAACTTATTCTTTTATATGGTATTCATTCATGTGTTCTTCATTGTGATATAGCTCTTCTAATACAATCCGGGTTCATTGGATTTGTTTCACAAAGCATGATTTACCCTGAGATCATTTAATCTCAATCTTTCATTGTCAGTTAAAACCTCAATCACATTATTGATAGAAATCTCACAAACGAATGCTGAAAAATGGTTGAAATACTTGAGTGATTAAAGAAATTAGGTTTGCAGATCAGTGGCATGCGACTGGTAAACGTGGAACGGGCGTGTCTCTTGCTGACAGCGATCCACGTTTTAGTCAACGAGATTGTCGACGCAGAGACCTTCACCCTTGGCTACATCACAGGTTCCAAGAGGCGACCGCACGATCTCGAATATCAGAGACCTGGTTTTCGTATCTCTGGTGCTATTAATCTTGCCGTGGAAGAGGTAGATATTTTCCGTGATTATTACATTGATTAATTATTTAATTAATTGTTTATCTCTTTCCTTATTCACCAATAAATGGAGTCTATGTAAGGAAAAAGTTTATGAAAAATTTGTTCATTTATACTGGGCTAATTATTACTGCTGTTCGAATTTGATGTATTAAATTAAAAAAATTAATTGACAGCTCAATTGTTAAAAAAACTGTAAAAATACTTGAGGAGACTTGATTAAAATTTTAAAACACATTTTATAGCTACTTGAGTAATTTCCCATAGCTTTCACCACCTGGACCTGACCCTCAACATTTCTCCCAAGCCAAAAAGGATACTCTCGCTCGTTAAAGTCACGAGTTTTTGTTCTTCTGGCTCCTTTTTTATATCTATCTGATGTCTTTACTTCTCTACTGTTCTACATGATCTGATTGAAATTTTTAGGTGAACTCTGGTGAACTTGGTAAACGTGGTCATAAATTAGATTTCCTTGTCGCTGAAACTTATGGTGAAGAAGAAACTAGTATTTTGGTGACTGCACAATTATGGACCAAGAACATCAGTGCATACATTGGACCACAAGAAACGTGTATTCATGAGGGGAGAATGGCTGCTGCTTTCAATCTGCCAATGATCTCATATGTAAGTCTGATGTTACTTCATCATTAATTGCAATTATATTTTAAATTTATGTAGATACTTATTGGAATAATTCTTAATTAGAATCTTATCAAATATCATCTTTATTTACTTGCAATTATTTAGTTGATGAATATTTAACAATTAAAAATTGCAAATGCTATAATAAATCAGTATTTAATTAACAAAGTAATTTTATAAAACGGATAAAATTATTCCTTTCTCTATTAAATGTTCATTAATCAAAAAATTGTCTAACAAAGTATGGAACAGTGACACAAATCTGAAATGAAATGATAAAAAGTTTACAAAAAAATTCAAACTTAATTTTTTACTATATTGTACTCGCCTTTGTTTAAATATAATTAATTTATAACATTTAAATTATGATATTTTCAATGAATCAAATTTAAAATACATATTAGTGTCAAAGTTTTAAAATAGTTAATTAATTTTTCATCCATGTAATGATAAGTAACGCGATATCAATAAACACAGTGCAATGAATCGCGTTAATTGGCTACGATAAACCCGAAGCTGAAGTGAAGTTGGCTGGTCACAAGTAGTAAGTTAAGGAAGAGGAAACGCCAAGAAGATTGCATCACTGGTTTATATTGTTCATTTTATACCAAGTCCAATTGTTCGTTTTACCAACGATAAATTTTAATTTAAAAGTAAATTCATCTAAGATTTCTCACGAAAATAGTTTCTTAAAGTGAATTTAAAATATTAAAGTCTTATCTTTTTAGTACCCCAGTTACTGAAAGCTATTAAAAAGTCATTTTCAGATGATCTGGAATTATGAATATCTACAGAAAATGTCACTGAATCGATTAAATGAACATTGTCAAAATTAGCATTACATGCAAATATGGGCCAATTCACATTAATTCCAAAAGATGTCAAGCTTATTTTAGGTGAAGTTATTATGTAGTTAGCTTTCAATAGCTATTTGTGTTTGGACGTAAATATTCATCATTAAATTATGGTGTATACGTTGTATAATAAATCAGAGCATCGTGAATACATACATATCATTTATATGATCATTATTATTTCCAACTCATTAAAAATTATATAAAAATTTGTTCTTTTCATCTCTGTGTCCATAATTTTCATGAAAAATAAAACTTTTGTGTATATTAATCCAAATGTAATAAATTAAATTAAATTTAATAAACATTAAATATGTTTAACTTTTTTCTAGTTTTGTACCTATCATGAAACATCTAATAAAATGGAATTTCCAACGTTCATCCGAACAAGACCTCCAGATACTCAAATATCCAAGTCAGTAGTCTCCGTTCTGCTGGCATTCAACTGGACAAAAGTAAGTAATTCGTTAGTTTTACGATCAATTTTCAATAAACAAGAATGAAATAACATTACAATGAGAATGTATTTTCTGATTTGATATAGAAAAAATATTATATACTTAATTTATTAAATTTTTCTGCTGTTCAATGTAGGTAACATTTATGTATATGAATTCAAGTTTATTTGAGTTCAACAATAAAATATCCAGTGTAGCAACGACGATCCTGAGTTCCTTTGAGTCATCTGGAATCACAGTAAATTATCTACGATGCTGGGAGGAGCCTTATTATGTCACCCACATGAACAATCCATTTCATGAACTCGTTGCTTCAACATATCAGGAGACTCGAAGTGAGTACAGTACATTCTTGGTCAGACTGCATATTTTCTCCTCAATTTAATTTCGATAAATTGCAACTCACTTTCTATCCAATATTTTTTTCTTAGAAGATTACATAAGCCATATATTTTCATTCAACTTTATTTACATCCTTTTCTTCAAATTGAAGTCAAAAGATTTTTTTCATCAATCCAAATAAAGAGTAAATGATGAAATTATTCATATGAGAAAACGAAAAGATTTATTTGAATAAATATTTATGTGCAATTTCATCAAATGTTTTTCTATTGGAAAATTTCGATTGTCTATAGAAGAATATTTATTGTAATATTTATTCATGATAGAGATTCTTACTCGTATATATCATGACTAACCCGCATGACAGAGTCAAGCACGTCGTATCGTGTCGTGTTTAGAATACGTTGGATTTACTTTTACATACCGACTAATGCGGTAACCACGTGTGCTTAACCCCCTTCACGTACTTAATGTACCCGGTAGCTTATCAAAACATACGTGTGTTATTCGATGCCTCGTTACTCGCTGTATAGGAGAACAAACTATAACTATGTTTTCCTGTCACACATTTGTCAACAGACTAAAAATACCGACATTGTGAATATTCATCACCTTTTTCTATCCGTTTGACGATTTCAGTTTTATTTTCAAACACTTTTTGCTACGTAAATTTTTTATTTTAGTGACACATTTTTTAGGTTATCTCACATTTTGCTTGAATTTTATAAGGATCTTTAGCTGACACTAAAGTTTAAAATAAACATTCTTTTACGTTTTTACTTTCGCTTACTAGTATTTTTTCCACTCAATTGTGCTAAAAACAATTTGAATATTTTCTTTTCTTTTTTTCTCTATCTTCCCATGCAGTTCAAATACTTTACATGAGCTGAATCGAGCTCAATAAATATCGTGACAATCTTTTTTCAATATTTTACTGGTACTCATAGCTTATCAATTATTTTTGAATTCGAAAATATACATTAAAACTTGACAAATTTTTACTAAAAATTTAAATATTTTGCTATTGTAAATTCAATACCCATAAATTGTGTGTGCTGTTGAAATAAATATGTAAAAATGATCAAAAATCAGTGCCACCTCAATTAAGACATTCATCCAAGAGTATTCTTGATGCTAATAATTAGTGAATAATGGTTGATTAGTAATAATATTTACTAATTTATTACAAAGAGTGATAAAAAAATATTGTTGAACAAAAGTCATTTTTAAATATATATTTTCATTTTATTTCAAATTATATATAAAATAAATGTGCTGAAGAATTATTTTTTAACAATTGCAATAGAATATCAATAAAATTATTCATTTGAATGATACTGTTATTCTTGTTTACTAATTAATTCTACATGCATTACTGCTATTCATTTATTCAAATGTTATGAGATTACAATGTAAGTATTTTTTTCTATGACCTAATTGATAATGTTTAGTTATTTTCCCATAATTTGCATTTTAAGTAAAATTTTTTTTTATTTTGCAAAGTATATTTTGAATTTTAAGAAAATTTATTGATATTTGAAAGCATAAATAATACCATTTATCAATTGTACTAAGTTCTTTGATGACTCTTTACAGTGAAACATTTCTTCTAGACCCTCATACGTCGCGACAATGTAGAATAATATTTCTTGAATAATCGAGGGTTCAGAACCGTTGTCTTTACGAGTTTGGCGATTTTTTTTTTTACGACACTCACGAAAAATTTTTAGGTGGTATGCGCATCTAAAGGTTTTTATTATTCTTTCTTCCTCTTTATTGTATGCCCTTTTTTATACTCACAAAACGTATTTACACATTTCATCTCTTACCCTTACTTATTCTGTATATGTCTGACTCCAGTCAGTTTTCATGGTCCGTTTTCACTTTTCAAATTCACTAAATTCTGAAAATAAATTCTCAAACATTTTCCTCTATCTTTGCTTTGAATATTCAAAGTTTAAAATATGTAGAAATGGCTGAACATTTGGATAATATCCAAGAAACGAATGTCGTAACTAATGAGAATCGTCTAATTTTTTTCAACTTTAATTTTTTTTTGTTCCAGTATACGTCATACTTGGAAACTATTACGAGCACATGGGTCTTTTGATAGCATTGAACGATAAGAAACTTCTTGAAAGTGGTAAATAAGCTTCATAAAATTTTTAAGTTTAATGAAATAAACTTGCAAAAATCGCGATATAAAATTTATTGATTATCATTTTTATTTGGAAATTTTGATAGCATGAAATATTGAAGAGATATATAGTAACAGCTTGCGGTCTAGTATATTACTCTTAAAATAACAATTGAGTGAAATGAAAAATAAGGACTTTTGTGAGGGGTCCAGTTACATCAAGTCTGATGTATTTTTTAGTTTGACGCTATTTTCCCAAAATGATTATTAATAACTGCTAAAGGAATTTAAAAAGACAAATCCTCTTTAATACTTTGGAAATTATAACATTATGCAAAATAAATATTTTTGATTTAACTTTTAGTCTTAAAAAAAAAAGAAAAAAGATTTGGAAACATGTGCAAATTGATGGCAAACATGCTAATAGATCATTAAAATTAAAATTTTTTATAAAACACACTGAATCACTAAAGTTACTCTTTAGAAAAATTGAAAATAATCTAAGATAATTGAAAAAATAATGCTTATGTAAACTCCAGAATATTAATAAAAAAGGTTAAATATTTATTTAGGTAACTATTGGGTAGTCGGAGTCGACATCGAGCAATATGACGAGCAGCAACCAGATAAGTATTTACGAGGATTGTGGGAAAAGGAGACAGATCCATCTCTCCTTCGTGCATACAAAAGTTACTTTAGTATCGTCGCTTCAGCTCCAGTAAATTTGAATAACTTTACAAGATTAATTCATGAATACCGGCAAAAGCCTCCATTCAACTTCAGTAATCCTCTAGCCCACGTTGGAGGAATAGTTCAGGTGACTTGAAGATTATAATATTTGACGAGTTAAAATAAAAAATTGTTGCAATAATATCTGATGATTGTTTCCTTTTTTACAAAGTAGATTGTACCAGAGACTGCTTATCTTTATGACGCAGTTCATCTGTATGAAAAATCCCTTCTTGCTGCTTTAAATGAGGGTCGAGATCCAAGAGATGGAAAAAGAATGGTTGAAGCTTTGCATGGAGTTCATTATCACAGTGCTATGGGGTTTGTACAAAATATTAAACTACTTACATTGTCATTTTAGATATATAAAACAAACGTTTTAGTTTTGAATTTTATTGATTCAAACTAGGTTTATTGATGAGCTTGATATATATCCAAGTGTATAATACTTTAGAGTAACTTAATATTTGAAAATTGAAGATTTTAAATTCAGCTATCACAGAGATTTTTATGAATGATTCTACTACCTTCAACTGAAAGAGAATTTTTCTCACTATTTAAAATAGAAATATGTCATCTAAACTAAACACCATTTAATATCCAACAAATTTCACGACAAATGAAATATGAGAACTAATATCGAATCTTTTGTAGCCAATCAATCATACAAATTTAATTAATTTTGAACGTTATATGAGATTTAATGGAATGTTAATCTTTTAATAGATACATGGTATACATGGATGAAAACGGTGATGCTGAAGGTAATTACACATTAATTTCTTTGGACAATAAATCAAAAACAGGATATGGTCTTTATCCTATAGGATATTTTGTTGGCAAAGAAAAAGCAACAAGTCTGCCAGTAAGTGAAAAATCGCTTTCTTACTAATTCAATATTTTTCTTAATAATTAATTAATTTCCCTTACTTGGTTACATATTTTATTATTCATACATAAATAATCGAGAATTATTTGAAATAATTTATGTTAGTGTATTAAAGCTTGAAACTTATATAATAACCATTCTGATATTCTTTTCAAGTCCAATTCTCCATCGCTGGCTATTTATAATAGCATTAAAGATTATATAGAACAACATTTCTTGAGGAAACGACAAGTCGTTTGGTTTGACGAGAAATTTTGGCTGAATTTTTGTCGGTTGTAATCGATAGCGGAAGGTGGAAAATATAGCTTCTCTCATCCCTTATCTTGTCCCCTTGATAGCTATTTCAAAGCTGTTCGGGCACAGTCCAACATCTAGGTTTATCCTCAACGAGTGCTTTCATGCCAAAAAGAATCCACAACGGAAATCGATTTGGTTTAGAATTCATACTTTATTTTATCTTTTTTTTTATTTTTGCTTTTTGAATTCTAGATGTTAAGACTGACTAGAGATATCGTTTGGCTAAATAATGGACCTCCTTTGGCAGAACCACAATGTGGATATCATGGAGAAAAATGCATTGGTAAGCTTAATTTGTTATTAAAGTTAATTTTATAATAAACTAAATCGCCTATAGCAATTAAATATTTATTAATATCATTATAAATATCATAAGAATATATATTTTTATTTAATAATATTGATATATGATAAAAAAAAATGAAAGTCATAAAAAATCATTGATATTGAAATAAAAAAAAGAGCTTTATCGTCTCAGAAAAACGTATCAAGAATATTGATGGATAAATTTGCTCGTAGTTTATTCTGCAATTTTATTATTCGACATCTGTTGCCATAACCATGAGGTTAACACAGCCGAATGTTTCAGCACATACTGGAGAAATCGTCGGTGGAATAGTTGGAGGGTTGCTTCTTGTTTTTGTGTCAATTGCTCTGGTACTTTATCGGAACTGGAAGTATGAACAAGAGCTTGATTCTCTTCTTTGGAAGGTCAACTATAAGGACATTCAGCTCAGGGAAGCTAAAGAAGAAACTATTAACAATGAATCCACTCAAAAATCTAACACTAAGGTAAGTTATAAATGATATTTATTAAGAATATTGATGTACTAATGAAAACTTTTTTGCAGCCTGTTATAAGAACAAGTCAAGTCTCACTAAGTTCGAATCCTGACGTTGATTTCCGATATAATATGATTTATACTCAAATAGGATTCTATAAAGGACGAATGTTTGCAATTAAGAAAATAAAAAAAAATCCATAGAAATCACTAGAGAAATGAAAAAAGAATTAAAAATAATGAGAGATTTAAGACACGATAATCTAAATGCTTTTATTGGAGCATGTACGGATCCTCCAAATATTTGTATTGTTGTTGAATATTGTCCTCGTGGGAGCTTAAAAGATATTCTAGATAATGAAGATATGAAACTGGATAACATGTTTATGGCTTCTCTCGTAGGAGATATCATTAGAGTAAATCTACTTTTTATTCACTTATTAATTATTTGTTACTAAAAATAAAATTTGATTTACTGATAAAACTTCTTTTGGTAGGGAATGGTATTTCTTCATGAATCTGTACTTAAATATCATGGAAATCTAAGTACTTCTAATTGTTTAGTTGATTCACGATGGGTAGTAAAACTTGCAGACTTTGGTTTAAGAGAATTTAAAAAAGATGCTGAAATTGATTCTGATGATGTAATGAAAAAATATCAAGGTAATATAATTCATAAAAATACTAGAAACATTTAATTAAATATTTATTAATATATGGACCATGTTATAGTTTATTTGATTTTTAAAATCTTTAGAACTCTTAACAGACTAAGTTTAAATGACTATGAAGATTATTTCTACGTTGATTTAATTCTTTTTAATTACATTGAATTTAATCAGAACTAATGAGATTAAGAATTAAATCTCGTCAGATTAAAACAGCCCAAAAAAAGTGTTCTCTTTAAATTATGTTCACTTTTATAAATCTAAACTAATTCAGACTTGTTTATTTTAAATGAATTGTATCCAATTAAATTAGATCTCATGAGATTTCGTGGTTATTTTATGAGTAATTTTAGTAGAAATTCAAGCAATGATTGGTTTGTTTTTATTTAAAAACTATCTTATTTTCATATTAAATATTCAATAGAAGAAATATTTAATTATTTACATGATTAATATCAATTTATTTTTAAGATGATTATTGAATATTTATGCTTATTTCCAGGCTTACTATACAGAGCTCCAGAACTATTGAGATCCACTGTGATAGAAACTCCAACAATTCGTAGTTATCAAAAAGGTGATGTTTATTCATTTGCAATCGTACTTTATGAACTTCATGGACGACATGGTCCTTTTGGAATAACAAAATTGACACCGCCAGAAATTTTAAAGAGAGTTATTGTACGAAAAGTTGGTATACCTCCTTTCAGACCACCAGTCGATCAATTAGAAAATTGTTTCGACTTTGTGAGAGACTGTCTTATTGAATGCTGGTCTGAGGATCCAGAAAGTAGACCAGATTTTAAAATGATTCGAAATAAGTTACGACCTTTGAGGAAAGGAATGAAACCAAATATTTTTGATAACATGATGGCAATGATGGAAAAATATGCTAATAATTTAGAAGCTCTTGTTGATGAACGCACTGATCAATTGATTGAAGAAAAGAAAAAAACTGATGCATTATTATATGAAATGCTCCCACGATATGTTGCAGAACAACTAAAACGTGGAAATAAAGTTGAAGCAGAAGGATTTGATTGCGTCACGATTTATTTTAGTGATATTGTTGGATTTACAGCTATGTCTGCTGAAAGTACTCCTCTTCAAGTCGTAAATTTTCTGAATGATCTTTATACTTGTTTTGATTCTACTATTGAAAATTACGATGTTTATAAAGTGGAGACTATTGGAGATGCTTACATGGTGGTAAGTTATTGCATACCAAATTTTCAATATTTCAATACTGATATTAATATTGAACTTTAAAATAAGTAGACTTATTAAAAATATATTAAAAGTTCTTTTTTTTATTGTATTATAAACCCAAAATTGCTACTCTTGAGATTACGTCATCAATATTTAGATCTTTCTTTTAAATAAGATATCAGAAATTTGGAAAGATATCATTTTGAAACACTTTGATGGGCATTTTTTGTTTGTTAATTTATTTGAAAATTAATAAATTTCTTAACTAAATTATGATAATCCTAATGCACACATAAATGACTTTGCAGATAGTTAATCAGTTTTCTTTTGAGTATGATGAAATGTCTTGTTAAATGTTAAAAGATTAATTTTCCAAAATTATCATTAAGAAATAAAAGCTATAAATAGCTTTAAAAGTTTCATTATTTTTAATACAATTTTGTTTTGTGAAATTTAAAGAAATATTAAGTTGAATATAAAAATTTTTGGAGTAAATTATACAGAGTATTAAAATCAATGTTTTTCACAAAAGTAATCGATATTTCTCACTAGACTTTATAAAAAAATTTGAATAATGTTATATAATTTATTATTATTATGTCTTCTATAGTCATGACTGCAGATTAAATTATTGCCATTTAGCCATAACATTATTGATCAATTAATCAATGACATTTCAATTTATATCACTGACCCTCTCAGACCAGCCGCAAGTTATTTATTCCAGTGAAAGGAAACAAATATTTAAATTTATTCTTTACTGAAATAATATAATAGAAAATTTTTTTACCAGGTCAGTGGACTTCCGATTAGAAATGGAATACAACATGCAGCAGAAATAGCTAGTATGTCTCTACATCTTTTAGAAGCTATTAAGCAATTTAGTATTCGTCACAGGCCCTTGGAAAAATTGCAACTTCGAATAGGAATTCATTCAGGGCCTGTATGTGCAGGTGTTGTTGGATTAAAAATGCCACGATATTGTCTCTTTGGAGATACTGTCAACACTGCAAGCAGAATGGAATCCACAGGCTCACGTAAGTATTCAATGAAAAAAAAATTATAAAATAATTGTTTCATTTAATGAAGAAAATTAAAAATTTATATTTTTAAATAGCACTAAAAATTCACTGCAGTCAAGAAACAAAAAAAATTTTGGATAACTTAGGAGGCTTTCATCTTGTAGAACGGGGGGTAGTTTCAATGAAAGGGAAAGGAGAACGTCTGACTTATTGGCTCATTGGTGAAGATCCAACTCAAAGAGAAGAGCGACGAAGAGAAAGAGAAGCAAGAAGAAATGGAGTTTCGAGCAGAAAAATTGCTCAGGATCTTTTAATACCTAAAAGTTCGTTGAAAAATAAATCTTTGACGAGGACAACATTCTTAAGATGCTCTAGTGAATCTCCTAAACGATTAAGGTTTGCTAGCTCGGATCAGTTAAATCAGAAGCTCATGAATGTCAATGAACTTGAGTGTATTGTTGACAGTAACCCTTGTATAAGAGCAAAAGGACTTTGTTCCTTAAGATCAACTTGTATTGAAAGCTCTAGATCATCAAGCAATTCCTGTCCTTGTGTAGAAAAATTATGTGAGCATGAAAACTCTTCAAAAATAAACCTAGTATTAAAACCCGATGATCAGTATTTGAAAACTAGCATTAAAGGATTTTGTAATGGTCCAAGAAGTTTTGAAGGTGCTTGTAGGTCAGCTCCCAGCAGTCCTCGGCACAGTTCTATGGTTTTAAATAGTCAGAAAAGAAGTGCACAATCTATAGAAGAGATTGATGGCTGTGATACACCATTAATACGTTCAGCTACATGTATTGACTGACATTCATTTGTTTGTCTGAATTTAGACTTAAATTTCAATTCAAATAGGCTTGAAAAGCAAGAATTTTTTGTTTGACTTCATTTGAAGCCGAATAAGCAATGGAGAAAAACAATAAAATGGAATTTAAGATTAGTTCTGTTCACTGTCAATTTTTTAGAGCCACATTTCGACGTATGAAGACGAAAAAATATCCTTGGGGAATAAATAAATGTCCTTAAAGACAATCAAAAAGGCTCGTGCTTTTTATTTTACTCGTGTCCTTTTGGATTTTTACGAGAACCAAGTGTCTAGTCAATCATTTTTTCAATTTAGTGTAAAAAAACGTTCAAAATAGAGATAAAATTATTAATTTATTATGTGTAATAACAATAAAAATGATGCAATTTTAATATTTATTACGTTATGTTGTTGAATGGAAATTTTTTAATTGTCAATAAATAACTAGAAAATATAAGTCTTTGATAATTCACCAAGTTATTTTAGGGACCAAAATACTTTAACTTCTCAGAAGAGATTACATTATTTGGTAAATTCTTTTACTAGTAAAAAGGACACGTCGTTAATAAGTACAAAAATTTCATCAGAATATAATTGTATGATAACTCATTCATAAATATTTTGAATTAAGTTTGAAATAATAATCGCCATTGTTTTATTTTCATTACAAAAATAAAATGATTAAAAACTGATATTAGAATAAAAAAGTTTTTATATAATTTTTAAAAGGAATAACTGTTAAAGTTAAATACTAAAAGTTATTAAAGTCATAAATGATCAATTGATAAATTAATTCTTACATGTACACTTTCTCGCACGATTATTTTAAATAAGAAAGAAAAAAGGAAGAAGTCAATTTTGTTCGGTTCTTTCGTCTAGTCCCCTTGATGTTAATGTGTAGCAATGGATAGTATATACAGTCAGTGATTTCTTTAGCTCGCACTTGATGTTAGTCGTCTCTATACACAAGAGACAAGCGTTGCGATGGACTCGGTGCCGTCTTATTTACGCTGAAGTGGTTGTCGGCCAACTTAGCTTGGCTGCTATCATTCAATCTAACCCGGGATAATTTACGGAGCAGCCCGATTCATGCAGCGAAATCATTTGATATTTGACGTCAAGCGCGATTATCGTATAACCGCCCGGATAAGCTCTGTGGTACCCCTGCAGAGACGGCACGACCACGTGAGTATAAGGATGACGAATAGATGTTATATACATCTATGTTATTTGTACGGTTCGCATGGTCCACAGTGTCGACACCGGATGTTCAGTCTTCTCAACTATGTATACATGTTGTTACTTTTTTTTTGTTTCACTGGATAGACCAACTGGAATATTTTTGGAATTTTAGAATCAACATGAAGTTACTTAATGAAAAGACTTGTAAAAATCATTAAAGTTTAATCATTTTTGGTTGGAGATTATCAAATAATAAATATTTAATATTTCTGGCATTGAGATAATAATTATTAATTTACAAAAAATAATTGATAGAAAAAATCTTTTTTATGATTTAAATGAATAATCAAATATTGAAAACTTACCAAAAATTGGCTTTATAAATCATTGCTTTTTATCATGTTGATTTCAAAATGTTTCAACGACTCTTATTATTTCGTTATACTTTCATGTAAAATGTCTGTCTACAACATAATTAATTTACACAATATTTAAATGAAATACTGCCTTAATATTTTAGTTATTTGGGATTTCAAATAACAACTTTAAGTGAAATTTATTCATAGATTAAACAATTAAAAATTTTTGTTTTACACTTGTGAGACGGATGTCGAGTTGTTTTTTTTTAAATATTTATATCTTTGTTATTTGGAATTGGAATATCTAAAAGTTTTATATTGAATCACTTGTTGAAACTATACTATGTCAAACATAAAAAGTGTGTGTCTGATAAATTTTTTAATACCTTCTATGGCTCAATATTTTTATTAGTGTGTACTTATAGCTCGAGTTACAGATTTGCAAATTAACTTTAACTCTGTATCAACAGCTTACAATTTATAATATTTTATTATTATGTATTTACTCCTCTATTATATATTCTTTGAATATATAAATTGGTTATCATTTATTTTGTACACAAAGAAACAAGTCATGACTTATCGGTGCAATTTTATGAAAAATTAAATAAAATTCAATATTAGTAAAAAAAATGTAGTAAAACCGGATAAAATATCTTTCTTTAAGTACTATTAATCAATATTTTTAATTGTTTATAATAAATTTAATTAATATTATGTAATGCAAAATTGAAAAGAACGATAAAATAGTAGAAGTTGTGGTAAAACATCCAAATAATAAAATAAAAAAAATTTCTTTTATCATATCAATAAAATTTTACCCAAATTTTATTATTAATTACCATAATTTTTTTTACTGAAGCTTTTCGAATGAATAAATCGTGATTATTTTTCTCCAAGTATATATATAGCAAAAATTGACTGTTTACATTATAGTTAAAGTGATAAGATATAATTGAATGTTCAAACATTTATCGACGATTTTTATAGAAATGTATATATTGACCTCATTTTTGGTTGAAAATTAAAAAATAAGCTATTATGTAAATAGAGAATAAAAATAAATTTTTCTTGTTACACTACCTTAAAGAATAAAAATTATTGATGATAAGACTAATTCACAAGATGTATTTCTAATCAAATATTTTATTACAATATAAAATCGTCATTCTGTCAATATTTATCTATTATTAATTGTCAAAAACAGATTATAAAAACAACTGATTATTTAATATAATTCGAATGATAGCAATATTTAAAGACATATGAAGAAAGGTTGTCACACTGACTAGAATGTTTTCTTATTAAAGTTTAATTTATTAACAAAAATTGAATATTATCGCAGTAAAAGAGTGGAAAAATTACATGGATTTACCAAGATAAATGTGTGTGACAAGCCTTATCATCACGTACATACCGAGCTAACTTACCAGAGTATCATACTATTCACTCCCCTGTGCATGTGCAACGATATCTGCTCAAAATAAACAATAAGAAAGTAAGCTATTAAAACATTTCGTTTTTTCAAGTGCACAGTTTATTTGAATGATTTTTGTATTTTTCGTCGCCAAATAATCCATTTATCCATATATATCATCAACAAATCTATCAAAAATATTTCAATTATTATCTTTGACTGTTTTACGTCGTTATTCATTTGATAATACTTACTCTTAATTATTTATGCACGACAAATTTAATCATCTGAGAAATATTTACGTTGAAGGAATATCATACCATTGAAATATTATTCCAACTCATTGCTCTCATTATTATATCAGTATTGAATTGTTTGAAGAATGAATATTGAAAAATGATTTGCAAAATTTATTAAAATTATCATTAAAAAGATATTGATAAATTAAAATATTTGATGTACACATCGAAATAATTTCGATGAGGATCTACTGCGCCGAGGCGAGCCGATTTTAACCGAACGCACGTGGCGTCCTGAAAGTGCTGCCCTCTAAAGGACGATTTATAATACTAGAGACACTCGAAATCATGTGCTAGTTCAGTACGTCGTGGTCCCGGCTAGCGTACGGTCCCAGGGATTTTTTTCTCGTGGTTAATAATCTAGTTATTATAAAAACTGTCGCGAGTTTTATATAAATTGTTACTTATATACAAAATAAATAGTTAAAATGATAATTAAAAATAGCATTAAATAATTTTTGTTAAGTCATTGAGTTTATTAGCTCTCTATTTACACAATTAATTGCTGTTGATAAGAAGAGAAAGAAGAGAAAGAAAGGGAAGTTGTTGTTTTGGCGAATCAGCGCGGAAGTGGCTGCGAGTTTGCAGCGATCGTGGGGAAAGGAAAAGCCGAGAGCGGGAGAGAAAAATAAAGAGGGAGATATAGGATAATAAAAGGCAAATAAGGAGTAAAGTGCGCTGTCGATCGTACGGTTCAAAGCAGCTCTTGATGACCATATTTAAATATTTTCTATTGTAAAAATATTGAGTAAACTTTTTTGATGTAAAGTACGGAAAGTTATTTCACAAACTCATCATATTCACTGATTGTTTGATACAGTGATTGTAAAGAAGGAAACAAGTCAAATAAAAGATAAAAGTGCGCGTGAATCTCTGTTATCATCCAAAGACTTGGATCAGATATGCGGAAGAAAATTTATCAGTTTTATTGACAGTTCACGTTTTTCAGTGCGGGATAAGTGACGAGGTCGAGAATAAATAGTGTTTGCGCAAAGGATGTGCTGATATTATTTTTACTCATTGGATTACCATGCTCGACGCGGCCACATGGCACAGGTAACGGATGTATTTTAGTAGTATCTCTTTTTTTCAATTCATTTTTAATGTTAAGTAAATTGAAAAACAATAAGATAACATGTGTCTTAAATGCCCCCTGTTTCTTGATTTATTTTTAGACCAGAAAATGACTCACGAATATTATTGGTATGACTTTGCAATTTAACACAAAAAAGACAGTAAAAAAAATAAGGAATGAAAAATAATATGTGACTGTTTAAAAGAATATTTTGTTTAGCAATTTTTTTTTTATTTAATCACATTACACATATAGTTTCGTTGATAAATTAAAGTTGCAGTTGAATTTATTTATCGAGGGCAAAAGAGAGAAAGACGTATTTTTTGTCCCGCATGTAAAAGAGGCTGCACGTGGTCATTGAATAAGAGAGAAAGAAAATCCACGAGAAAGAGAAAAAGAGAGAGAGAACGATGAAGAGGAAAAGGAGGATGAAACACACAACGGCCAAAGGGCTATTTGCATGTTCATTAAGCGAATGAGTCGCGGTCAGTGGGAACACGTGACATGGATTTGCGTCAAAAAAAAAGTAACGTGCTGAAAAAAAAAACAACAACAAAGAAACAAGTTGGAGAAAATATAGTAGATAGATTAATTCTCAATAAAAATACAAGAAAATAATAAATGTCACGATCATGAAAAGTTTGATTGTTTTATTTTTCGCTGAAGTAAATAAGAGTCTTCTAAGGAATAATGAAAAAAATTTCAGTGTATTTCTTTTTGGAGTTTACTTCGAGAATATTCTTAATAAACATTTCTTTCTATTTTGGCTTTTTTTTCAACTTATAGATAATTAATCGATTAAAAAGTTGACACTGGCATTACTCCAATCCTATTAGTACATTTTATGATTATATGAGCATTTTAAATTACTTAATGAATCAATATAATTTAAAAATTAACGATACATATTTACCATAAATACCTCAAAGCATTTAAAAATAATTAAGCCAAATTTAAAAAGTTTTAAAAAATGAATAAATTTAATGAATTAATTTTTTTAAAAAGTAGATTTGTTTCTTTAAATAAAAAATCAATCTGGGAATGATTGAATTTTCAAAGTTCCATTTAATAATCGGAAAAGTTAAAAAGAATAAACAGAATTTTGATTGAATAGTGTGAGGAAAACAATTTGAAATTTGTGGAAATTCGATCTTGTTTTCTTAGGTGTACTTAAGGGCTTCTGTGGTGGCATAGAAAATTTGAGATCTTTTGAAAGACGATCAAAATACATGTAAAAGACTTGAGTTTCTCGAAAAAATAATAAAACAAGGTTGTATGTACGAAAGAAATTTTTTGTTATTTTCGTGTTGTCTCATTCTACGTTACTTTATTTATGGAATATAATTTCGAGAATTTACTAATATTTCTCTCAAAATATAACATTATGTCTATCAGTAAAGAGAAGTCATTAATTGCATGAAGCTGCAGTAACGGTGGTTGAGTAATAACTAACGAGCAGTACGCCTTCCTAAGTACGCAGTAAGTAGCAGTGGGTGCTGTTACTCATACCCAGAATAAAATCGTTTACATTAAATTTGAAATAATCGGAAAATCACTATATTATATATTCGTTCAAGTTAATTTTCATGTCATGTTGATTCTATTGCACATTTCCAATTAATCGTTCCTTAATTATTCATTTATAATTCTTCTAATCCTCTATTTATTTCTCAGAATATCTTATTTACAACAGATTTTTTTATTGTGATCAAATCATATTTCCACGAAATATCTAGTGTTATAATGCCATTATATTGTTACATTGAAAGGTAATAACTCTTTTCTTGACTTTGAATTTATTAGATGGATGACGATTAGCATTAGTTGAGTCTTATTAAATGATTTTAAAATAAGAATTACGTTGAAATATATATCTATATTAATCAGTTAGAATAAAAATAAATGGAAAAAAATCTTCCATATAAGGAGCATTACCTCTTTAGATAAGAACTTAATATAATTCAATAAATTATTCAATTAGTACGGAATATAAATGAAAGATAAATTTGGAAGTTTGGAAACAGGTGGGAATCTAGTTGGTGAAAAAAAATAACTGGCAATTAACAAAATATTCCATGATGTTTAAAAGGATTTTTTAGTAAAATTTATTTTCACTCTCCATCTAAATATACTACCGATTTCGTTGATGAAATATTAATGAATATTTAATGTATTTTTAATTATATAAAAAGTGAAATTTTTAATATCTCGATCACTACCACAACTTCAAGGAGAACATCGATGTTGTCCTTGAACAAGGATCAATGTGTCGATAAATCGTATTCTCGAGGTGAACTTCCCAGTGAATGTCTCTTATTTATCGTAAATTTTCCTCCAGAATCTCGTGAACTTGCCAATCAAAGTCATAAAAACAAAATAATCACCATAATATTAAAGTTTACAAAAGAATTAAATTAAAGTTTGAAGAATAGAGGAAAGTCTCTAGATGTTTGTGGGTCTTTTAAGACCACAACGCGACGATTCCAAGTACAGCTGCAATGATGTTGGACCCAGGAGTGAAGTAGAATGAAGTACTGAGGGGCCTGAACAATGCCAATAGACCCCTAAGAGACTCCTAAGAGTCTTCGAAGTGAATAGAAAGAGAAAGACTTGGTTGGAAGAAACGAACGGCTTCGTATGTAGTCAGTCAGTTGGTTGTTTAAGCTTGAAGAAGCGAGATAGCCAACCGGGTACGAAAAATAGCCACACCGAGAGAGAATATTACGGCACTTTGCAACGAGAAAGATACGCGAACAAGATAGTAGACAAGGAGAGAGAAAGACATCAGTGAGCGTGATACCACTAGTTCTGTTCACGTTGCTTTGGTCCGAGTCATACGTGTCGACCGTTGATCTGATTCATGTAACCCATTTTTTAAGAAATATTTTTTTCTTCATTTATTAGTTCACTTCTTTGTACTTAATTGATTACTAAAAAAAAATAACTTCATGAAGAAAAACACATGTAAATGATAGAATATAAGTATGTGAAAGATTTCTCATTCAAACTAAATGATAAGAATTGAAATTAGACATCCAAGTGAATTAACTTAGAATTAAATACAAGAGATAAGTGGCTTTTTTATCTACAGTTGTAATCGAAGACTTGATACAACGATCGATATCTTAACATTAATGTTGCGATAACAATTATATTTCTAAGTTAATCATACTATCAATATTATGATCATTTTCATATTTTGACTATATGTTGAATCAATTTACTAGACACAATTGATTCAGACGAGTAGTGAATATTTCGTAATCATTGAAAGGGTAATGTACCGTTTATTGGTATACAACCGAATAAAGATTGACATTATTTATTTAGTTTGTATAATTTCACTGCTTTCATCAGTATTATTGAAATTCATAAAAATAAAAACAGACGGCTTATGTCAACTGATTTTTACTTATTTTTAACTTCAAATTGAAAATAATTTAATATCATTTTTATCAGATAAAATTTTTCGATTGATTTATGATTTGTTTGTTAATCGATTTTCATTACATTTGTAATTGCATTGAGAATTTTATCAGTTGTCCTCAGGTTATTTTAAAGTAGTGATTTTTTGTAAATAGTCGTTGATAATATCAATGAATTTTTTCACTAATTATGAAATTTTTGTGATTTATGGTGGGTATTAATGAATGTTATTTCCCGTAAGATAACTCACAAATTGTATTCTTCAAATAAATGATTCATTGATAATTGCGTTTAAATTTTATTAATGGTTGTCGTAAATGGAAATGTAAGTGAATGAAGATTATTGATGACGAATGAAATAATTTATTGGAATTATTTTAATGTGCTTGAAGTTTTCAATTATAATTCTTATATTTATAGATTTTGATGATCAGCAATAATAGTGACTATTAGACAACAAAGTGATCCTATAGGGATCCATTGTTTCATTTTGGAGTACAGAACTCTAAAAATAAAATAAAAATTATTAGCTGAAACAAATCATTCTGCGAATAATTGAAATTACGTATGATAAACTTTTGAGGTGGTAGATTTGTTGAATCAATCAGTTATTAATCATAAATAATTACAATTATTAGAAGATGGAGTTAATTAAAAACATATTAAATTCTTTTTATAGAAATTAATTATGCCTTAATAATACTATTTATTCGTATGTTTATCCAAAATAAAATAATTTATTTTTACTTTGTTTTTATTTTTAGAATACTTTTCTGAGTAGAAATTTTAATTAAGTCTTTATTTGTACCTAATCAGGCTTACCAATTTATTATTAGAGTGTCATTGGTCTTTAAGAATGTCTAATTGAAATTTCTTATTAAATTATTGCTCATCAAAGTTTGATTAGGAGAAACCGGGGCAAAATGGAGTACTCCAAAAAGTAAAAACATGCTTTCTGTCAATTCGTTTTTTTTATATATGATTTTTCAGTTTATTAAAACACTTGAGAAACTTCCATTATGAAAATTGAAGTAAATTCATTCTTTTAGTGATTCCATATTGCCCAGTCTCCCCTACTTCTAAAAAAGAATATAATTTTTATCCAAATTATTGGAGCGATTTTATTAACAATCTATTTTATTTAACACCATCAGTCCTTTTAAACTAAAACATTTACAAGATATTATTGCTAAATAAGTGAATGAATAATTCATAAAATGAATTTATAAAAAAATGAAACATTTATTCATCAAAGAACGGTGGGAATAATCAGCTAAAGTTCTCTATAAATTCAAGAGCGTTAACGAACCTGTCAGTAAAGCTCCAAAACGAAGGAGTGAAATATCTTAAAACTTATGCAGCATTATACATATATATGTATGCACATGTTTATAATGTATGTATATATAAAAGTAAATGCAGCATAAGAGGTGGATGAAAGGGTGCCCTTCGGGGCCGGCGTGAGCAGAAAGATCGCACGAGGATAAAGCACACGAGCCGAAGTTCGTTCGGTGCTTTGTCTAGTGACCGTAAAGATATACTTATTTATCTTAATGGTGGCCTGTCCAAGCACTCGGACACGCCTCTCTCCTCTCTTCTGATCGCTGCTTATGGGCCCTATGGCTTTCCACAAAGGGATTTGCCCTGCTTATATGGACATATATTTATATATACCTTCTTCTTTTCTTTATAACCCTATCTGTACACCCTTTACTCCCTCATCGTCTTTTGATCACACACACACACACTCATGGAGCTCAAGGGATCCCCGGACTCTTATTAATAATTCAACGCGTAACGCCGGGGTCTACGATCTCGCACTGAGATTCGATTCGACGATAAAACCGTCCACCTCTCTCAGATACGCAGAAATCACATGGGATTTTCGGCAGGATTAGCAAACATTCCTTTTCAAAATTTTCAAGTCATGTTTACTTGATTTTTACCATTATTTCCATTCAATTTGCTTGCTGGAATTATTTCGTTTGAATTCTTCAATAATGCTGTGTTTGTTTTTTTCTCTTTGCTTGAGTTTATGAATATTCAGTGATTGTTTAAATAACTCTGTCATTGTTAGGTTTAAATAGTTTTTGTTATCATGACGGGTCTATTTTTAAACGATGATTGTTGTGGATATGCTTTGAAATTTTAAACAAATATAAAAATTATTTTCTTTGTCATAAATTTATTTATAAATACTAATAATTATATTGTCACGTTTGAGTAAATTTTTTCGTGTGATACTTTTTTATGGTAAAAAATAAAATCTTTGCCAAGTAATCTCTAAAAATATTTTTTTTTAATGAACTAGTAATTTTCAAGTTTCATCCACCGTTTTTTTTAAATTTAATTATGCTTTTAGATCCTTCATACACCAAAATATTATTTTTCCTCTTTTTTTGATCAATCATATAATGAATGAAAAATTTTCATTCGCAAACTCTTCGTATTACATGCACTTTATGATAAAAGATTTATTTTTTTTGTAATTTAATTCATTAAATTATAACTGCATATTTATAGTCTGTCATTTTTATTAATTTGTTTCGAATTATACACTAAGTTATCAATCTCTATCAGCCTTTAGTCAATCCAAGTTTCGCCATTGTAATTATTTAGAATCTTTTTTTGGTAGTCTTTCTGAATTTAAAAACTAAAACTTCTATCATGATAAAAACTCTTTCATTTTACACACTACCAGTCTTTAATCTATTTTTTAAAATAAGACTCTTATTATTATAAATTTTTTTTAAATATAAATAAACCTACATTACCGTTATAAAACCTGTATTATTGTAATTAATTAATGACAAATGTAAAAAAGTATTAATTTTTAAAAATAATCAATTAAAAAATGACCTTATAATAAAATAATCCTGATAATACTTGGTAGTTAAAGGGGAAAAAATGTCTATCAACAACATATAAGGTATTTTTATCTCAGCGACTAAATAAATTTATGAAATTCATTGAGAAAATGAAAAAAAAAAGTAGAATTTCTACAACTGAGAATGTTTTTTTAAAATCTATGTGAGTTTTATTTAAGGAATTGATCCAGTTTGTGGTAAATTTCTCAACTGAATAATGAATAAAAAAAGGTATATATATATAAAAGAAAGCAGGAGATAAATGTATAAATAAAAAAAAGGAGAGAAGAGTCGATCGAAACCGGTATGGATCATCGATCGAGGACGGAAGAGAAGCGGCGAGAGCCGACGAGATCGCGCGTTCGCACGCTCCGGTGGCCGCGCGAAAATGAATGTAACACTCGAACCCGTGCGATTGAAGAGAGAAAGAGAAATAAAAAATAACGAAAGGAACATAAATGTACCTGAAAAGGAGAAAGAGAAAGATATGGGTCTCTATACTTGCATCAGAATGGTTGAATACAAGAGAGAAGAAGCTGGTCCTTGTATTGCTTCTTTTCCTTATTCTTCAGCTCTTTCTTCCTTTTCATCCCCATCTTCTTTTTCTTGCCAATGTTCTCATGCTCCCGGAATAGCCTTTAAATCGTTTTTTTTATCTCTTATTACTCCTTCTTATTCCTCTTCGTTTACTTCCACCTCCAATCGTCATCCTTTTTCTTCATCTACTTTGAGCTTGAAAAAGTTCCTCTTATTCTTGCTCGTTCCGTTTCAGTTACAGACTGAGAAAGAAACAGCAATAAGAAGTAAAAGAGACGCCCATTGACGGCAAACATTCTCCCTTTTCATCGTTGTAACAGAGTACGTGTACGACCCTTCTGAGTTTATCCTTTTAGATCATTGACGCGTAAATCTTGCACGCGAAGAAACTTCCTCCTTTACTCTGTTTCATTTTTTTTCTCGTATTCTTTCGCTAATCTTTCATTTCATAAATATACTTATTAATTTATATGCGAGTAATTGTATAATGTTAAGTGTGGAAATAACGACCAATTATTTAATCAACAAAGTCATCTTTTCAACAGTAATATGTAATCAAAAATATTTCATCTTTTTTTTACAATTTAAAAATTTATTTGTATGAAAATTCTTTACTTTTAATTCATCCTTTTAACAAGAACTTTAATTTAATTATTAATTGGCATTTTTAATAAATAATTATATATTTATTTTTTTTAACTAGAAAAATAATACATGTAATATAGTTCTATGAAAGCATTGAATAACATCTGTTCATAAATCTGGTGCACAGAAATACAAAAAAAGCGAAAGAAAAATGAAACGTAAAAACAGAAAACAAGAAATGATAACTAGTTATTTACAATAAAAATATGCATTGAAAGAATTTATTTTTTCAATAAAAACATGATTAGCATTTACTTTACTACTTAAAAGTGTAACTTCACTAACAAGTATGTTTTTATAAGTACTTCATTAACTTATTCAATATGTTTCTTATAATGAGCCAAATTTCACTTGCGGGAAAATGTTATTTGCTATTTTTCCATTTATAAATAGGAAAAAAATTGTTTCATTGGACTCGATATTAATTTATTGTTTTTTATAGAATTCGAAAACATAAGCTTACTTTATATAATTAGAAAAATCTAGTCAATTTGTTTTCAACATTTAATATTGAAAATGAAAAACAGTTTTAAACCATCAACAATGGATTCGTTTTAGTCGAATCGTAGTTCACTTGTTGATCATTCTGAAATTATAAATAGGTCATTTGTTTAAAATATTTTCCAAAAAGAAATTCAAAAAAACTGTTTTTTCCTTATAAATTACAGATAAATTGATAGAATGATAATCTACTGATTTTACTATTGATAATTTAATGGGTTTGTTATTAACTTCTAATCATAATTAGATCTATTTTTAAAATGATTATCATAATAGCACGTCATTTAATGGTTTTTTAATCATAGTAGAGGATGTAATAAAAATAGAGGTAATAAATACTTGAATGATTTATCATATGCACTTTCTATTTAGATTATAAATAATTTTATAAAATCGATTTAAAGTTAATGAAAACAATAAAGTTTAATAACTTAGAGATAAAAAAAAAATTATTTAAATTCTAATTCAGTATGTAGCGGAAAAGTTTAATTTATTCTATAATTCGAATTAAACTTGGAGTAATTTTTTCTATTACATTAGTTTAAAAACTAAACCATTCTAGATTAAATTTTTTTCTTCCTGATGAGCAATAGTGAACAATATTACTATTACTTCATCTACTATTATCTTATTTCAAATAAATTGAGTCAATTCTGTGGTTTAGCCAATTTGATTTTTTTTTATAAAACTATTTTTACACTTTCTGTTTACAAAAATATATGCTTACCTTACATACAGCAGAGAACTTTTGTTTATGATATTATAGTACTATACAGCTTTAGAAGACAACAAAATTTGTGAACTATAAAATTGTGTGTATTTTAGAGAAATTATAACAATGTTCTATCTAAAAGAAGAGGATTTCACAAAAAAAAACTAAAGAATATTAGAATTTTTTTATATAAAACTAATAAAAATAAATAAATTAATAAGAAATAAATAATCCATAGATATATATTAATATATATAAAAGAAAGAGTGTTTATTTATTTCATTATCTGTCAATTTATTTTAATTTATTAATAATTCCATTCTATGGATTATAAAACTATTTTTTTACTTCATTTCACTCATTATTTTATAATCGAATAATGCTTAATTTAATTAAAATTTGAATTAAAAATATTAGTTATATATTTTCACACTTTGAACTTTTAGATTTCAAAGCTTATTATTTAATTCAACTTATAAACTGTCAATACAGGCATCCACAATTAATTTAACGTTTGTTGTCATTAGAGCTCTTCAAAGTTACAAGAAAAAACGATAAATTATTTTATCGTTAATTTAAATAACGTTTGATTTATTAAATCGTTTACTTGCGAGACAGTTATCAGGGTCGATTGAATTTGCTTTAAGTTGATTGAATTCAATGGACAATTACATTGATCTATCATCGTGAGACAAAGGTCAACTACTTAGTAGATTAAAAATAATGATGAATAATCATTGAAATTTCTTTTTAAAAATAAAATTACATATGAAAGGATGGAAAAAAATTTTTGAAGATGGTAATTTTTTTTCTGAGCCAGATTGAATTCTCATGTCAATGTTTACACATAATTATCAAAATGCCGCATTTTAAAAATAAATATAGTCATTTATGCTAAATTTATTGAAAGAAGTTTTTTCTTTATTTCAACTTACGAATGAAATATTAATAAATTATTGTAATTTTAAGGTGGCTGCAGTACGAAGTTGAAGGTATTCTAAAGGCGAGACACGACTGGACAAGGTATGTCCCAGAAATAGCCAAGAGAATTCAATCATCTTCTTGTAGAAGTCAGCCTACCATGTTGTTCAGGTAAACATTTCATTTAATCACTTGATTAAATAAATCGTTTTCAAACTTTAAAACAAACAAATGATATATTTTATCATTGAAGATATTAAATAACGAAGTAAAATTAAAAGTAGAAATTTTGATATCAAATAGGTTACAATTATTGACGTAGATTCAGCAAAAACTTATTGTTCAAGATAAAAATAACCTGAATTATGAACTCATAAAATGAATAATTTATTAATTGAGTACAATTATTTTAAATTGTAAAAAAAAAAAATCATTTTAAATTGTAAGAAAAATGTTTTTCTACTGAATCAAAATAATATTATTTCTAAATTTAATCATGAGATGCAGTTATCAAACGGTGCATAATTGAATTTTTTTATGCCTTATAAATCATGTACAGTCGAGCAAAATGAAAGACGCACTTGTAAATATTATAAACACGTCTTATCGTGACATACTATTTTAATGACATTATCTCAGTCCATGTCCGCCGTGGGACCGCAAAACATGAACAGAAACATTCAATATTTTACAAATGGAAATAATTACCATTTTTTTTTTTAACAAATAATTAATCTAACATTTTTTTTCTATTTATATAACTTTTTATCGCTACTTATTTTGATAAAATAATTCCTTTCATAAAAATACTTGTTATGGATTATTTGAATAACTTAACATTAAATTATTTCTATATAATAGTGAAAAGATTATTATTAATCATGAATAAAAAATGTATTTATTAAGCTTTAAAATTACTTATGTGAATATAATCGTTTGTAGAATTATTCGAAAATGTTTAAATCATGAATTTGATCAGAACGGTAAACACAGTTTCATGTATAAATTATTTATTTATTAACATTATTAATATTATTTTAAAATAGAAAGGATGAATTTAAAAAATCAAATAGAATAGTTTTTTCATAACACAAATGGCAATTATATCTAATTTATTTTTTTTAAATCTAACTTTCTAATTGCACTTTTAATTACAAATCATATCAATTCATACTTATATCGTTTATCTAATGTACCAATTGTTATGACAAATTTTGAGAGATTGACAAGACTGGAATAGATTGTGTGAAGGAAATTTGAAATTAGAAAATGAATTTTCTCTTGATTATGTTTAACTGAACGAAGACTCGATCTTGGTTGATGGAAAGTTGTCTCTAGACTGACTAGATCGTTAAAACTAAACTACATTTTTGCTATAATTCTTCATAATAAATAAAAGATAGTCCATAGTCTTAAAACTAGTTATTTTATCCATGCATCGAAGGTTTTTAAACTTCCAAATTTCATATTTTACGTCGATATTAATTAATCTTGTCATTTTTTAAGATATTTTATTAAAAACATCTGTTATTATAAGGATTGACAATTTTCTTCTTTAATAATTTATTAAATGCAACTAAGCTTCATTGTTTTGCAGGATACATTTAACTATTTGTCCATAGTGTACCACGATTACATTGCACGACAAAGTCATTTTCACTCAATCCTTCTTCTAATCAAAAATATCTGCCATGATGAAATTTTATTTATAAATTATTACCAAAAATAAGTGATTACTATCCTTCAAAACATGCAGAGTTAATTTGAAATAGAAAAACTTGGATTGGGATAAGACAAAAATGGACAAAATCAAATTACTTTATTAAATTTATTATTTAATTCTTTTTTTCATTAAATAACGAATGACTTTTTATGTTTTAAATTTTTCAAACGACTCTAATCAACATAGTTATAATTTTTCGTCGAATTTACGATCTTTATCATGAACTCGAATGAACTCAAATCAAGTTTATTATATACTCAGATAATTCGATAGCTCAATTCACATTTAATGATTATATTACCTTATTATTATACATTCATTGTAGTGACTCTTCTTTTATATCTCAACATCTTACTTTCAAAAGGGAAATTAAAAATATTTATTTTTAAATAACCAAAACAGTCTTTACGAGTGATATAAAATGTTTATAAGCATCTATTACACCAAACAAGCTGCTGGAAGTATTAAATATAGCTGTACTAAAAGTGACTCACCGCAGTAGTCTGGAGTTTCAATCCACCTGTTGCATCGGCTCCATTTTTTCTTTCGCATTATTTTCCTTTCTTTCGACACGTGATGGCAACTTAATAAATCCAAGGCTAGACAATAAATCAGTGAAAATATACTTTTGGATACTTAGCATAAAATATATTAAATAAAGGAGTGAATAAATGAAATATGTGTGAACTGAGATATAGGATGTGGTACATTTAAGAAAATGATTCGCTCTAATAGACACGTGACCGTGTCTATCAGATATTCTGACAAGTATAGTTACAGAGGGGGAATGGAAAAATAACAGAGATGGAGTTTCACGCGCTCAAGAGTTTTTACATCGTTCACGGCCTTAATGAATGACGTCGGACGCGGTTGGATGACGAGCACAGGTGTTAAACCACAGTAAAAGTCTTATCTATTCGTTCAACTCGAAAATTACTTGGTGCTTATATCTCGAATCATTGATTTCGACACGCCAATTGTCCAATAAAAAGTATATTTATGCTATTTTTAAATCTTGTTTTGAACGTTTTAGGCTTTTTTTTTATATATATATTCAACAGGTGTTTTTTTTTACCTGAGAGAAGTATTGGAAATTTTTGGAATATATTATGAAATCACAATTATAGTGTTTTTTTAATTAGTACGTTAAATTTTATCTCTCTTTCAGCTCGGAAATTATCTTAGTGATAATAGTCTTAAATGTTTTATTATATATGTATCATTTATTAGCAATGAAAAAGTTTCTTTTTTATCTGTTTTTCTTGATTTTGTCTCAAAAATTTTGCATTGTAAATTTCAATGTAATTGTTCAATTTCTTGAAATGTTCTTATTAAAAACAAAAAGATGATTAAGTTTTTTTCATATATCAAACTTATTTACTCTTTTGGATAATTTAATAAAAATATAAACTTGAAAGAATGTTAACACATATAAAGTGTGTTTAATATTAAATTGCTATATTACATTGTAAATCCAAAATTCGAGTGATTTGTTTGTTTATGACATTCAATATGGTAAACACTTTAAATAAATAATGAAAAATTTAAAAGTGTTAATAAACATGTTAAAAAACAATAATGAATAATACATCAAAGAAATGTTAAAGCAAAATACATTGTCTAAAAGAAAAAATTATGCAATTTACAATACATTGCTTCTTATAATTTTTTATTTGTTTTTTTTTTAAGATCTATTAAGATCTTTATTTTTTAAATTATAACAAAGCAAATATATTTAAAATTTTTCATTGAAAATAGAAAATGAGACTTTTAATATTCAATTAATTATGAGATTTATTTTTTCATTCATTGAAACTACAATTCTACGTTTAAAAATAAAATAATATGACAATAACAATTTTCAGAATCAAATATTTTCAGATTATTTGTGTGTAAGTTTTCAAATATATTCTTAAGAAAGATTTTATATACCCAAAACGAATAATAAATATTAAAAAAAAACACGTAGAAGATTTTAAATATTACAAAGAATTATTTTTAAAGAAAATTTCTTTGAATTCATATTTTGATTCTTTAAAGAAACATTTATAAAAATAAGTAAATTTAAAACTTAAATTAGTACAAAATTTTAAAAAATTCATAGGTAGTAGTATTCACCTCGTAAAATACCTCTGCTTTTCATATTCGTTTGTTTATCTTACGAATCGTCTTACGGCGAATGGTTTTAGGACATTATATGTAATAAAGTTGATGAGACCAGGGATAAACCAACGTCGAAGACTCGACCCGAATGTTTAGATTTCTGCGAAAATATTTGGCTTACATCCAAAATTCATCAGTTACTCTCTTTATAAATGCTTTGATTCGTTTTGAAGCTACAGAGAGATGGAGAAAGAGGAGAATGTCCGAGTTTTCCTATACTACTCGAATTCTTGGCTATTCTCCAACAAATTGTCTGTCTTAATCTTTTTAACATCGAATATACAATTTAAATACATTATTTTTACATTTGTTTTTAACTAAAAAAAACAATTACAATTTCTTAAAAATTAAAATCTTACATTTCTTTGCTTTTTTAAGATACGTATGAAGTGAATGATTGATTAGTTCTAATTTAACACGAGTATTTTTAATAATTTCTACCTCATAAAATACGTTCTTAAATTTTATTATAATTGATCATAAAAATTAATTCATGGAGACAAAAAATAGATTCATAGTAAGTTACAAATCGTTTTTTATTATGTAAAATGAATGCAAAATAATCCGGTAGTAAATATACTTGAGTGTGAACATGAACAAGTCACGACAAATTCTCGTGCAAATGTTTAGCCTCATGACGTGCTTTCGTGTCAAATTTAACATGTAGAATTTGCACATAAAATTATCGAAATTAAAATGGAAAGAATCGAAAACAAAGGTAAAATACTTCTACAATTTAAATAATGCATTAATTTTTGCAATAAAGAAATTACTTGATGATCTCTTTTAGAAACAATTTATTCAATTAACTATTTAAAATAAATAAAAAATATTAGCCATTGTTCAAAAAACAATACTTCATTATTTATAATCGCATTTTGTTTTAAAAAATTAATATTATTCACTCCTATTATTAATTAATTCAACCATTAAGATATGGAAATAAATAATCCATTTATTAATTAATAATAATTTAAAAATTTATCAACAAGTGTTAGCAAATCAATTGTTGGTAAAATGAAAATTTATGCAATATTAGTAGTAATGAATTTTGAAAAAATATATAATATCAATGTTAAAGTGTTAATTGAACAAAATGGATTTGTCAAAGCGTATCCACCTACGTTTTCAGCCACGTGGCTTTGAGTTTCAAGTAGCTTGAGGTCACAAATTGGTCACGGCACGTCAACCGATCTGAGAAATAGGATCGTCGCAGTCGTTTGGCAAATAAGGGCGTGACCACGGTGCCCGTCGTCTTAATTACAGATCTAATTGAAACACAAGCGATCGCAGCGTGTGCTAAAATGTCTTTTCCAACTTCCCAAACTCAATTTACAAAAATGTGGATATATATTATCCATCATTTATACCATTTGTCATTATTATAGCGAAGCTTTAATAATTCCTTACAAATGAAATGAAGAATTCTAAGAATAGAAAATTATGTTCTATTTCTTCTATAAGAAAAAAAAGAACATGACTGGGTGCTGTGCTACATAATATTTCTTAATTTGAAATAAATTCAAACGTAAAGGGTTAATGTATTATGATCCCAGTGACAATCTAGATGAAAAACAATTACTACAGAGTCCAGTCAATATTCTAAAAGTGAGAGAACTATGAATTTTATTAAGCAATTAATTAAAACATTCTTGTTGTTTAAATATTACCTTCAACGCAGAAAAAATGTAATGGAAAATCTAAAACTGTAATTGATTATTTAACAAAATTTTTTATCCACAGTTTTTTGCTATTATGTCTAAAAGAATTCATCATAGATCAAGACATAATGCAACAAATTTGTGGAAAATTTTTACGTGAACAAAATAAGCCTAAGCAAAAGTCTTCACGATCAGTAATTTTCAAGATATTAATTTGTTAAGATATAATAAATAATATAGGCAAAAGTCAAGAAGATAAATTTAATTAGTATTTGATATTAAAATTATTCTTTATTAATTTTTATTTCCATCAAGTACATACAAACTAAATTTTTTGTTCAATCGTATTGAAACTTCACTGTGCTCATGATGGTTTATTTTTATAGCATGTCAACATTTTTAATAACATTGTAAACTTCACATAATATAATAGACTTTTAGTCGTTTTAACCCTACTCTTTTGATATTTTTAATACAAAATATCTCAACAAGTATGTGTTAAAAAGAATTTTGCAATTTAAACGTAAAAGAGTAAAAATTTATTTATTTAATAGCACAGTACCTCGTCATGTCTTCTTTCTTTTATTCTCTATAAAGAACGACAAAATTTTTTCGCAGCATGGGTCACCCCAAAAATAGGAAAATTTATTTCAAGTGGAAAAAGAAAAAAACTCCAGCCATGAAGACTAAAAAAATAACAAAACAAAGAATTATTAAAACTTTACTGTAATTTAACATTTGTATATAGATATGTATTTCAGTCGACTTTATAATAATTAATCTTCACCAGTGACATCATAACACCTCTATCTCTACATTGATAAAAAATTATTTTACTTCAATGACACACTTTCACGTTTACATTTTTAACCAATTAACTTTTTACGATTTTCATTACTAAAAAAATAATCTTAATCCCAACAAGGATAAAAATATATCATATTATTTATTGAATATTTTTTGTGACCAATAATAATTTCAAAATTGGAATGGAGTTTAAAATTAAATGAAAAATGACTTTTTAACCTCCATCTAATTTTCTCAGCTTTGATTAATTTCATTTTAAAAAACCGTTATGGTATCTCAATAAAAACAATTTATCTTCAAATTGATATTGAATAAAAGATCATTAAATCATATAAATAACAAACAAAAATTAACAGGGCTTTTATTTGTTATTGAACATGTCATTTTGTCATATATGATCAATAATAGTTTCCACAAAAGTTAGAAAGGAAATAAATTAACGTAAAATTATGGCGAGTTTGATGTGATAATGATTGTAATCATTGAGGAGGTTGTGGTGGTGGTGTGGTGGTCACCCTTAGTAGTCGTTTAGTACGAGTCAATTATAAGCGTAATTGCGTAACACTTAAATCTATTTTAGCCATGGTCTTGAGCAAAAGCAAAGGGGCTGGTTCAAGGTTAACAATTTATCTACCAGCTAGCCATGTGATCTTGAATATACACTTTACTTGGATGATCACAAACATTATTTAGATCCAGTAGTTTTCAAAAAACTTTCTTGGAATCAGCATCATGTCAAGTCTAGGGCAAATTCCATCCTAATCATATCACTTTTATCAAGTGTTTTCAACTTTAACTCTAATTCCCTTATTTTACCATCACTTCCAGTGTATTAAAATTGTACGTGTCAAAACTTGAGATTTATTGTGAGTGTGGTAAATTGTATTTTAAAATTAATTAGAATGTGAGACATAAATTGTTAGATCTGAAAACTTGGCAATACTCCAAACGAAGCAATAAACATCTATCATTAAATCAATTGTAAACAATCAACAATTGCTTGTAAAAATACTTCCTTAAGTATCAAAAATATTTAGAAAATAGTATAATAATGTGTAGTGGTGTTTTCTTTACACTCTAAAATTATCATCAAGCTCTTCATGTTTGTTGATAATCCTTTATATTATCTGTGAAACCACTTCTCACACAACTAATTTTATTTTGCACCTTCAATATATATATATATATATTTTTTTTTCATGTTATACGATGAGTATGAAATCACAAGCTCTTGTTGACATTTAGTGTTTATATCTTTTCAATTGTCATCATCAAATCTTGTTTTCAACAAGTTGTCCGAGATTACTTTGAGTGTAATTTAGGCTTGTGAAACATTTTGTGAATTATATTGATAGCGGTGAATTTACTTAACTGTGTGTTGAAATTTTGTGAAAAAATACGTTATTATTTTATTAAAAATTATATAATATTAGAAAATAATTTTACATAAAATTCAATATATAAATAAATTAACAAGTGAATACATGTTATATTATAAAGAAAAAAATATTCAATTCAATCAGATTAACATTTCTATCACTAAGTGTCGTAATATTTCAAATTACATTTATAAAAAGGAGGTATTTAACACAAAAAAACTTATTAATATATAATTGAAAGTTATTATAACTATATATTAATTTTCTTTTTATTTATCCACTCTTATTTCATTTGTTTTCATTTTTTATTTAAAATTTCGATAAATTAAATGTAACTGCAAAATTTTCAATGTTATTATTCCGTTTATCCTTATGATTCACTACTAAAATTGAATTATTAGTTAAAGTCTATTTCTAAATAGCACTGTCATATATTTCTTAGATTGTAGCAGACAGGATAAAATATATGAAAACATAAAGATTCATTATTCTTAAGTGATTGTGACAGTCGAGACCAAATTAATTATAACGTGTTCTTATAGTTAATTATAGATTGAACATTTTATCTTTGATTGTTATTAAATATTAAAATGTGAGCTTAATCATAGATTACATATTTTTCATTTTGCACTATTAACATATTTAAATATGTATAAGTAGCTGGTCATATTTTGTCATGTGCTTCCTTACTATTTTTATTACTCAATAAAATATTTTTAGAAATGTATAACTTTGAATAACATGTAGGTAATTGTTATTCAAAAATTAGAAAAATTTTAAAATTATTTAAAATAATTGAATTTATAAAAACTTTATGAAATGATACTCAAATATTTCTGATAGTAATAAAGTATAAAAATATTCCAACTTTATTTTAATATTAATCAATTTTTTTTCGCTTACTTTAATGACTCGTGTGTTTATAATTATTGAATTAACTGATATAAAGCTAATCAAGATAAGACATTAATTAATGAACTAAAAAATTTACAAAAAAATTTATGGAAAATTTTTAAATACCATCTATGTTATTTGAAACTAACAACCATTACACTTTTACCCATCATCTTACCCTCATTTTACCAATATGACTTTTTAATACAATTTTATCAGTTTATTTGGCATAAATTAAAAAAGTTTCCAGTGAATCTTAACTCATTGAACAACAATAAACATGCGAGAGAAAGCAATGAATAAATCGTTAAAATAATATTGATACAAGCTTATTCAATCCACTATGATCTCCAGCAGCTGATAATTCTATTAATATTTTCCAGGTGAGCGGGAGGGAGGCGCTGACCGGTGGCGGCGGCGGCCATGCGCCCCGGCCCGCCATCACCGAGCCGCCGCAGGCCTCCCCGTCGCCAGCATTTGTCTGACCCAAAGATCCATCATCATCATCAGCGTAGCCAAGATTCAGGAGGTGGTTGCACAAGCATTCAAGCAATTTTATTGCTACTGTTGTTAGTGTCCAGCTCCTGTCATGCTCTTATAGAGCCAGTACTTGGAGACCTTCACCAACGTCTAGATCATCAACGATCACTATCCTCAACGCTTACTTCAACATTAGGCTCATCTTCCTCTTGGTCTAATTTAACTATTCAAGCCAATCGAAAGCCTCAAAATCTTACTATTGGATACCTTACTGCCATCAAAGGTGGATTGAAAGAAAGGCAAGGTTTAGCTATCTCTGGAGCTATTTCTATGGCACTTGATGAGGTAAAAATCATTGTTTATATAAATGTGTTGAGAATCAATAACAGTAATTGACTTTGACAATTGATGAAAGATAAATTCAAACTTTCAATTACAAGCTTATTTACATGAATAATCAAATAGTTTATTTTTTCAATAAAACCAGCTGCATATACAGAGGCTCAGCTAAAAGGTTAAATTTAAATTTATCTTATAAGATGAAATTTTAATGATTTAAATTACATTAACTTCTAAATGTAAATATGTCAGACCATCTGGATCTGCTTGATTTTAACTAAAGTCTAATCAATTTATCAATTAGATCATGATTTTACTACATCTAATTACAATTGATTTATTAATTAGATACATCATAAAAATAGTTTAATCACAGGAAATTAGATTTGAAAGTTTAGATATTTTAGTAATAAACTATGTAGCACAGAGTAGAACTTAGATTGTGGAAGAAAAAAATTATGACAATTTATAAAAATAATTGAATAAAATTATGATAATCATTATTGATAACTACATGATAATTGAAATCTATAAACATCTTGACAATAATTGATAAATTCTATTATAATAACTTAAATATTTGAATTCTAATGTAAAGCTTTTTTAACTAGTTGGATCTATAGAAGAGTATGATGGATTATTTAGTTTAGTGAACTTTAATAAGAGTAATATCATGTTTATTTTTATCAGTTGGAACCAAACCTGAATGTTCTTATTTTTAGAAGTTTTGGTATTGAAATAGCTCTAAGTAAGCCACGTTTATTCTAATTCATTGATATTTTAAAAGTTTAATCTAAAATTGGTATTTTAAACCTAGTAGTTATTTCCAATTGTGCATTGATAAGTTTATTTCAAGATATTCAACCTTAAAATGAAGTTTAACTTCAAATTCTACGTAGATAAAGTTCAAGGCTTTCAAGTTTACCTTAGGATTGATAATTTAATTTGAATATTAATAAACTATGTATGTTAATCAATCAAAAAAGAAAAAAATGGTAAAATATTTTTCCTCTTATTTGCTTCAATTGTATTTATGTCACTTTAATACTATGCAGTGAATTCTCATCAGGTTTTTTATATCATACAACTCAGATAGGCTTTTGAAAGTAATCTGAGATATGTATCATTTCAATGTGACATTAAAAGGCTGAATTATGGAATGACATGTAATCAAACAGCAAAGAAGGCATGTGTCATGTGAACAGAGCTAGGATAAATTGAATCGATTTGCTTACTTATAAGGAAGTTGGATAATTAAATTGTTTCAATTTTCGTCATTCATCAATTTGCAAAAACGCTAGAGGTTAATATACGTCATTTAAATTTTCAAATTGAATCATTTTGAAACATTGTTGACTAATTTGAAAAATATAACAAGCAGGAAAATATTCTTCTCGTACATTTACAAGTAATATGAAATGTTAGAGTTTTAAAAATTTTAGAAGAGTTTTGAGTATAATTAGAAGCATCAGCTGTAATAAGTCTTTTTTTTGAACAATTAATTAGAAAACTTGTGATAAAAGGTCGATGTTTTAATTTTTGTTATTAAATATTCTTGTTCAGTGAAACTCTTTTTAAGTGTAGTTTTTCATCAATATATTATTCCACTGTTTGAATAATGATTATAAAAAAATATATAAGTATATTCTTCATTAATACTTGTCAAAGATTGTATATTTTTTTAGATGAAAAATGAATTTTATTGAGTGAGAATGAGGGCACTGACCTTCCTTCATTTCATAAATTAGTTGAATAAATTACGTTAATTCTTTGATTAATATTTTGACAGAAAATTTATCTAAACAAAAATTCTTCTCAGTTCTCAAAGCATTTATATTAAGATTTTCTGTATATTAATACCATCATTTTGTTAAATTTAAAGTAATTTGAATTTAAATGAAAAAAAGCTCAAACCCCTTAGAGCTAAAAAAAGAATCTGAGCATCTAAAATTGTTGGTAAAATTTGAGAGTAATGAGAAAAGATGAATGTGGCGTTTGAAATGGCAAAGAAAGGGAGAGAGGTACTGGAACAACTGGAGAATTGTCGATCGATAGGATCGTGGAAGTAGCCGAGGGCTACAGGACTTGTTGTGGGATCGATCGGGAAGCGGCGAAAGCCAAAGAGACCTGTACTTGAGCTACCTTTTATTTTTCTTAGGTTCGCTTCTGCAACTCTCTTTCTGAAGATGCTTCTTTTTCTTGTTCTCGTGAAGGGCTGTAGTGTGTGCTGGTCCGCCCACGCCCGAAACCCCAAGACCGTGAGAAGAAATCGGTCGACGAGTCCAGGAACCCAAGTCTCGATTCGCCAAGTTGCACGCATGCCCCCTGGCTCGTTCCCACTACTTTCCTGACACGTTCTTCATCTTGTTTTCTTTTAACCAGAACAAGTACCAGAGAACTTTACAAATGCTGTAAGAGATATAAATAGATGCCAATTCTGACATTGATACACTTTCTTGAAATAACTCGATTTAAGTATTTAACTGTTTATTTTATTTGAAATATTCCCAATCATCTATCTGTTGGTAATTACCAACTCCATCAATAACTGGTCAGTACATTTATCTTACTAATGCATTTATTGCTAAATGCAAACCTTTGGTAGAAAATTATAAGAATTGATAAATCAACACTCTATTAGGAAGCTTTCTGCTAATTTGAGTTTAAAAAGATTGTAAATTGATCATTTCATTTTAATTGATTGTTTTTCTTTGATGTTGTCTCCATGTCTATCAACATCATTGTGATCTTCAAAAAAAGATGTTCTCATTATGAATAGTAGTTTATCAAGAATGAATCTAACTTGAATATTTCATTGATGATCTTCAATGATTCATCATTGTCATCAAATTACTTTGGCTTTAATTCCAGGGGAATCTTACTTTCTTGAAACATTTTTGTGACTACTGATGCAATTAGTGGTATATTAGACATGACGAATCTGTCATCAGTCAGTAATCCATAGTGACTTTGATTAATTCATTTTCAGAAAATAATATCAGACTATTTTTAATTGGAAAACATTTTATAAATTATAATGAATAATGATTATACTTTATTATAGTGATTTAAAATTTAATATACTTGTTAATTTTACTAACATAAAAATAGTGCTAATGATGATAGCTTTTTAAAGAACCTCAATTTTTTTCTGGTAAAACTTTCACATGCATAATTAGAATCATTCAAACTCTAGTCAATGAACTAATAAAAATATTCAGATTTGAATTATGAAAAATAATATTCAAAGTAAAAAATGTAAAACCAAAATAATTGAAAGTAAAATTTTTTTAATTTAAGATTGACGTCATGGTTAAATCATGTTTTTTATGTGTTTTTAAAGTGAGGCTAATTTTTTGATTTAATAATAACTGAAAGTAAAAAATGGGGAAAAATGATTGAACCTTGAATTGCACATTGTCTGTTTTATTTCACGATATAGTAGTAGTTTTAACTTCATTGCTCACTAATTTAACCTTGGCACTGACAGACACTCGTGACGATCAACTTTTATTTATACTCCATTATACAATCGACTCGTTTATCTGTCAAAAATATTTCCGACCTACCTCCTACGTAGTTTTAATACAAATTTAATACCGGAAATGTACAAAATTATCATAAGTCACTTTATTTTTAAATCATTCATTCAAGTGTTCATATTCTAAAGTGCGTTTGAATTAACATTAATATTTATAATTCGTCAAGATTTTCATCTCTTTATTTTATTGTTTTATTTATAAAGAAGATTATAATAGGGGAGGAGGGAGAAAAAAATTGTCTCTCCTTTATCTCCAAGGAGAGTAATTTCCTGAAGGTAAGGCACACGAGTCAGAAAGCCGCGAAATGTAAATTACATTGGCCGTGTGAGAACGTAACAAGCGAGTCTGGTACCGCCAAAGCGCGGTGTATGCGCACAGAGATAAAGAGATGGGAGAGAAAAAGAGAGAGAGGGAGAATGAGAGAATAAAAAAAGAGACTAAGAGAACTGAAAAGGGTCTACTTATACCGCCAAAGAGGAAGAGAGAGACAAAAAAATATTGTTTGCAGGAATTCGGATTTGCATAATAACCGACCGGTAGTGATATCTGTGCACGAGCCGGACGTAACGGGTGAGCCGAAGGGAAAGTATACGCTTAGTACTTATGTCGACATGCTTTTAACTTGGGTATTGATCATGATTCCATATAGACTTGATAGTAACACTGGCTAAGGAAGGAAAGAGGACAGCGTTCTCACGATTCTTTCGCCAATATTTCTTTTAGAGTTTCAATTAATTTGTCTCTTTGTCTTCTTTTATTTTTAATCATTCTACCGTATCGAGTTGAGAAAATCGAAAAAATTTATAGCTTCCATCATCTTTTGATCATTCTTTTTTTTTGTTTTTCAATACGGGTTTAATGACTTTGATTCTATTTCTTGTATATATTTGTTCCTGGATGAGGATAAAGTTATTTGTTTACATATATTATTTTTCATCACTTTTTATTTATTAAAATATATGTTAATATATTTAAAGATATATGTTTTAATATATTGGCATATGTAGAATAAGATGAATTTAACATTTTTAAATTTAAACTAATTATGCATTCATAATAACTTTTCCGTGGGATGGTTATATTTGTAAACATATACATATGTGAGTTATTTTTATTCAGAATTGTTTTTTAAAATTACTTACAAGCTTTTGTTTCTGTTAAATGACATATGGTAATGAGACCAATAAATTGACAGAAACCAGTTGATGAATAGATTGGAAAAATTTTCAATATCAGGTTGAAAAAAAAATAGTAAAATATTCAAACCAACTTTTTATTTTATTATTTTATTTAATAATCTATGAACTTGAATCATACTTTAATAATACAATACAGTCACTATGTGCATCAATGACTTATACTCATCTTGAAGACAGGGACAGATGAGAATATCATCTTGATACTGTATGTTCTAAAATGTTTGAACAGTAAGAGTGTTTTTCTATTTTCTTAACAACTTTATAAAAAAAATTAATATAAAATTATGATTCAATTCTCTTTTTATTAAACTAATGAACTTTTATAAATATGAATAAACTAATTTAAAATATTAGCATGATATTTAACTGCATGAAATAATTTATTTGAATTCTTCATTTACTCATAAGTAGTCCCATTAATGCTTACTTGATTTGTTACTCGTAAGTGTGTGCAAATATAACTATTTCTTTTCATTTGTAATAGTTTAGCAAGAAAATGCGTTTAAACAATTAAAATGTTTATGAAGAAAAAACTGACCAATGAATTTAAATACTGCATCCAATTGTCTATTTATTTAACTATAAAAAATAGTGTCCATCTATTGTTTCTAATACATAATTGACATTTCTCATTGATAATAAATCTAAAAAATTTGTTTTACTGTATTTTTATTGATTGGTTACTCTAGTTTTTTTTATTTTCATTGTCATTAGTTTTTAAAAATGAATTTTAATTTAAAATGATTTTGGTGGCACTTTCAAGCTATCAAGCAATTTTTAAATCAATTAAAATCAAAAGTTTTACCTTATATTAAATGAAAATATTTATTCAATTGAATTGAAATAATTCAAAGAAAGATGACTTTATAAAAATAATTAATGTTACAAAGTAATTATCATTATTTCTTTTAAATACTTGCGAGAAATATAAAAAAGCAAATATTTTTTACTTTTACTTGTTAATACGTAATAGGTAACCTGAAAAACATTTCAAAGTAAAAATGAGATGCAAGGAATGCTGACACTTTTGCCACAAAAGGAATGTCGTCAATCTCGACGTTAACACGTTGATGATCCTTTTAGTAACAGGTGTAGCATTAAAATTTAAGCACGTTGTAATTGCTCTTATATTATTACGATATCACGCATGATCCTGATTAACTCATCATATTTTTGAATGACGAAATACTGCTCAAACCAGAATAATATAAACAAACATTTAATTCTATTTTTATCGTAAACCACGCTTTTTAGTCATTTATCTTTTGAAGAAAAAATACAAGCAAAAAATACATCTTGAGAAACCGCATTCTATTGAAAATATTTGCGGTCCGTCCCTCTGTCTAACATTATACGACACGCACTACGTTCACGCACTCTTGTATTATGTAATTTAATGGGAATAAAATGTGTTAAACCTGAACATACGCGAGTGGCATGCAAATGGCCCGCGTGCCATACGTGTTCCATACTCTGACGTCTTTCTAGATCTTGACTTATTTTTAAAATTATTCTCAACTAGACATAATGAAACTAGCAGCTAAAAAGATTTTGCATTTCATCTTTAGAATTATTTGTTTTAATAATGAACTCTATTTCATGGCAGTAGTTAAATGATATTCCGTTGATAACATTGATCAAAATCGTGAATAACATCAATATCGCTAGGTCTACATCAAATATAGTTACAAATATTGCTAGATGATTTTTGTAATTACTATTCATTCAACTAAATTAATAAGCACTTAATTAATCAAGAAGAGTCACACAAGATCAGCAATAAATTCTATTATAACAAAATCTGAACAGATGTTTGAAGATAAAAAAAGACTAAAAATTGAAACACATCCGGTTAAATGCATTTTTTTTTGACATGGATAACATCAGTATCATACTTACTAAAGATGTGTGTGTTAAATTCAACTATAATCGCATGTATTTAATAGTCGATTCAGAATTTTGAATTAATTTAACTCCAGTATGTTGTTATAATTTTACTTGATAATGTGTTGATTTAAATCGTTTGAACTTTACCATGGTAATCATCATCAGCCCAGTATTTAGATCCAAAGCTTTGAATCCTTATTTTTCTTCTTTTATTTCTATACCTGTTTAGAGTAAACTTCTAAAGCAAAAATACTAGTTATTCAACATTAATATATTTTTTTAAAGAATATTTTGTAAATACATGTCGTTGAAACATGATTATATTAAATTAGTTAGAAAATTATCAACAATTTTTTTTTATTGATTATCTTTATTTGATAGGTTTCACAAGATTTGTATCATAATCATAAATTTCATCATGGGAAACCATTCTATTTTATGACTCTGATATGCACATGAGTAATTACCATTAAATTATCTACCTGGAAATTAAAAAATATGATAATTAATAAATCGAAAAGAAGGCAATTATTATAATCATATGAATGATAATCTTTTTCTTTTTTGTTGAATTAAATAAAATCGAAATATTTTTATCTCATTACTAAACACACACCTTTCATACACAGTTTGTAAGAATATTTTTTTCTTAAAATAAAACATAATTGTAAGATGTTTTACAATTTAATTAGATTACTGAAAGTAAAAAAAGGCATTGATATTTGAATTTAATTTAGGAGTTGATTGATACTAATGATTCTTTTTCTTTTTCAGATCAATAATGATCCAAACATTTTGCCAAATGTAAAGCTGGTGATGAAATGGGTCGATACAAAGGGAGAGACTGTTGAGACAACCAAGGCAATGATTGATATGATTTGCGAAGGGGTCGCGGCTTTTTTTGGGCCAGAAGGATCCTGTCACGTTGAGGCTATTGTTGCTCAGTCAAGGAACATACCTATGATCAGCTATGTAAGTTCCAATAAGGTGAGTGTGCCATATTCCGGTCTAGTTAATAATCACAAGCTATTTTTATTTCAAAGAAAATTCCATATTATCAAAATAACATTGAATAATAATCAATAGAAATATTTTCAATTTTTATTTCAAAAAATTTGTTTTAAAATTATGTAGTTTCAATTTATACAAAATGATGCATAATTAAACTTGATATATACACTTTTGAATTTGAACAACAATTTTATTATTTACTACGACAAAATTATTAAAAAAGAAAAGTTTTTTGGTTGGAAATAGCTTAAATAGGCCGGAAAATGGTAGACTAACCTGAATCATTTCAATTTATTCATTAATTATATTTTATTTCCATTGAAGTATTTAATTATACGATGGGAAGAATTGAGAGTAAACAAACCCTTTTGATAAAACAGTTTATCTGTTTTGAAGCCTCAACTCTAATTTATTTCATTTTTTTATTTTTTTTTTCTATACCCTAAAAAGGTGTAGAAAATGAGAGTGAAGTTATCTATTCGCAACTTTTTAAATTTATTTTAATTGCTATTATTTTGATATTTCTTGTTACTTTTATTCATTAATCATCTATGAAATCTATTGAATAGAAAATATAATAGAAAAACTATCTAGATTATTCATAAAAATTGTAAGTAGTTAGTCGATTTGAATCAATGTATAATCAATATTTCTCGTAATTTCTAACTACTATTGACACTAATTAAAAAATCAATTTGTTTATTACCCAGTTTTTAATAATATTCAAATCGACATGTGTAAAATATTATTTAAAATTATCAACAACATAATATTGACATCAAGGTTAGTTATTCTAATATGCAAAACGTGTCTATAAATATTTATGTTAATTAAGCTAATAATTATAAATCATCATTAAAATCATAAACTAATTGCTTGGAAAAATTAACTTCAACTCTAAAAGATCTATATATAAATCATTGAAACATATTAAAACTGATAAGGAGGAAAAAAATACAATTAAATTGGATAATAAAACAAATGTAACTCGTGGAAGAAATAAGGGGAAAAAAGAGAAGGTATTAAGTAAAAAAGTATTTTAATGATCGGAAAATTGGAGACAAGTGAAGACGATAAAATAATTGTCAAGAAAGACATTGCGACTCGTTGAAAGAGAAAAGAAGTAAAGAAAAAGAGTGGAAAGAAACCTCCCACGGTATATATATATACATATATATCGCCCTTGCGGATGCGAATAAAATGCCTGGGCGTAAACCAGTTTCCCTCAAGTTTGTAAAGCGACCAGAATTAATGGCACAGCCGATGTAACGCCATTAATCGCTGAGCCGATGAAAAGAAGAGAAAAAGTTGTGTATATGTACTTTGAGAAAGAAGGGTAGGGAGCAAGGGTATGCAGGATGTAGATAGAATGGAGGGAGTTGGACATGATAAGAGCGAAAGAAAAATTAGTCCTCTCGATGAATAATATTAAGAAATATTTTTCTTTCTTTTTTTTTATTTTTTTCGTCTTCCTTTAATAAATACGTGCACCTGTGAACGACGACAGAAAGACTTTCACTCGGTTTCACCATTCTCTTTAACAGAAATCGCGAAGATCTCTGTTGGGTGTATGTATATATTAATGTAATTTGCTTTTTATATTAAGATGACTTCTATCTTAATTCATACTAAGTTATTTTGATTCATGTTTGTTTAATTTTCTTTCATGGAAAAGGGTAAAATGTCCATTACATGATCATCATTATCCAACAAATGACCAGTATATAAAAATATAATTATTCACAATTGCTGAAATTTTTAAGCAATACTAAATAGTAAATCATAAACTTAGGAGTTGGTAATTAATAATATTTTATATACTGGTCATTCACTAGATAGTTATCATTTGCTGATTATTTTACCCTAATGATTGTTGAATCCTTTTCCCAAGTCATGCAATGTTTGAAAGATTTATTTCAGATTTGAAAAAAAACCTTCTCCAATTTATGATTGAACATAATTAATATCTTTTACTCCAGAATATGAAATTAATTAAAATAGTCAAATAATTATTGATAATGAGAATTTATTATGAAGAATATATCTATATTTAACTGCTGCAAATCATTTTACTTTTATTTAATAAAATGATTCAATATAAACTGGTTGACACTGGCTGTAAATAGATTGAGAATTATTTTACTCCTGGATAATTAATTATACAAACGGAGACAGGCTTTTTTCTTTTGTATATAAAAGGAGATTTGATTTCTCAGTAAGAAAACTGAAGTTGGAATAAAAATTGCTAAAATATGTAGAAGAATTTCTTTATTAGAAAAGTAAGATGATAAGGGAAATTGTTAAGATTTAAATGAAAGTTATTGACCACAATTAATTGATTTTTTAGTTTATGAAAAAGATACAAAGCGAGAAAGAAAGCTACTTAGTAGCTGTTTTTATTTAACATGAATATTGAATAATAATAATCATCAGATCAACACAAACTTATAACTAGAACAAGTTCATTATCATTTAAGAAAAAGCTATGATGTTCTCAAAGTAGATGTAATAACACTTTTTAATGGTGTTAATAAGTGAGAAGAAGTCAAGTTGAACTTCTTATACCAAAAAAAAATTTTATATGATCATATAAAAATATATAATCTATTTTAAACATGAATTTTAGTGTTGATGCTTATGCTTCACAAAATTAAAAAAGAAAAATCATTTTGCATATATTGAAGTAATTGCTTCAACTATTACATTCAAACTCTATACAAGAAATGTCATTTTTTTTCATTCAATGCACTTGAATATCTTTCATTGATGTAATCCAATGATAATAAAAAAAAAAGATTTTTAAAGTAATTGAGAAAAAAAGACATGTTTTTCTCAACTTCATTTTCACGCAAAAAAATAAAAATTAATAGCAATAATGATAATAAAAAGTTTTAATGAAAGAGTGCATTATTTTCTAAATAACGATGTTTACGATGAATAAATATGTTCGAAAGAATGAAAAAAAAGTTGGAGCTAATTTATATTGAAAGTCGACAAGTAACCAGACCTGCAAAAGGACTGGCCGCTCAAAGAACGCAATATTATTCCATCGACGAGGCATTTGCATGAAAACTGCTGATTCCCCTGACCTTCGCGATCTATTTATAGTTTGCTGTGGCTGTCGATGCCCCACGCGGTCTGCTGGAAGCACTCATAGCCTCTGTATACACCCAAGGATCCCTACTTCTATACCTGGACCCAGCATCCAAGATGATTATCCTCTTTATCCCAAGCCATCTCTCTACTCTCTTGTCTTATCAACGTCATTCAGGTTGTCTTTTTCTTTTATTAACTATTTTTTCTTATCCAGCTCCACTTTGGCTGACTTCTACAGCTCTTAATAATAAACTTCGATATTCTTCAGTAACGTCAACTTTTTTTCTTCAATTTTCGCTTTTTCTTGTTGTTTTTTTAAATGACTTCTTGAATATCGTTGGATTGCTCGATAAATTTAACTTGGTCACACCATATAGTTATAAGATAAAGAATTTTTTTATCTTATGATATTGCACAATGTATTCAAGATATCTCACAACGTTTTTGACGACGCCTGGATCAAATAATCAAGTAAGACAAGAAAAAGCTCAAGAATATATACTACTGAATAAAATCCAATTGCGCAAGAAGTGACGTAAATGTCATTGCATTTTGTTCTTTATGTTGCTGTATTTTACTGACTATGAGAAGAAGTGAGAATACTGAATATCAGTTTGTCAGTCATTAAGAATACTGAAGGGAAAAAATATGTTTTATTTGAATTAATGTACTCTACTCTAAATATAGAGTAGAGTAATGATGAACAATATATGGACAAGGTGAAGCCTTGAATAATGGTATCGTTATTGTTGATAAAATATAATTGAAAAATTTTTATTTATCATCAAACTTTAATATTACAGTAATAAAATGATGATCATCAGCTTTCTTGATTCATAATATTTTCTTTGCTACAAAAGAGCTCATATTCTTAGCTTTAAGATTATATGTTCATAAATGCAAAGTGTAGCTTATTTTTTGCTTCAATTACTCTGGCTTGAACTTAAAGTCGTCTTTCCAAGTTTATGACTTAGTAACTCAGGAACAAATAATTGTAGAAAAGTTCCAAAAGAGGCAACTTAAATAAGAAATATGCTGAGAAAATTATTTGCTAGAAATTATCTTGCCATCTAAAGTAGACTTGGTATCTCTTGAAACTGTAAAAAGTTATCATTTATAAGGGGGTGAAATTTATTTTCCATCGATGAAGTTTTACTTGATTGCAAGCTCATTTTTTATTAAATAAATTATTTCTTCTTTTATGATACCTAAGTGAACATCAATGTTTCTCTTTGAATTCCAGAAAACTTTTTATCAATGATACCTTACAGAGCTTGGATAATTAAATCTATCCAATTGTTCTGAACAACTACTTTTTTTAGGACACAACATATTATTCTGTTTTTATTAATCCATGCAGAAAGCATTTTATTATAGTTAATTAAAGATTAATTTTCATTCATATTCTAAATTAGCTGGAAAAGTTTCTGTTACCAACACCATGTGATTAGGAATTTTATTTTAATATCAACAACAGGGTTATAAAAAAATTAAATGACTTTGAACACTTAAGCTGAGTCATTTTTGTGGTAAAAGGAAGTGAAAAACAGACTACAAACGTAAATTGAAATTCCATCAAACATCTAAACGTTTATCTTAAGATCTAACTAAATTTTTTAGTCATCAACTTACTATTGATGTAAAAAAATGTTGAAACATAATTGGTTACTTTTTAAAATTTTGCTTATGATAGTCAACAGCATCTTTAAAGTCTACTACATGATTAAGAAAATATTTATTGCTGTTGATATTATTTTACCACATCACTGAGATATATCAGCATACATGATGCAACTCTTCAGAATTTTTCAATCATTAAGAATTATTTTACGATCGCTGGTAATAATTTTGAAATGGACAGTAAA